GTCTTGGATTGCCCTATCGATGACACTTATCGACTCTAAGGCAGACTTGTCCAAGGCGAGTCGTGGACTCGGGCAATGATGTCCCTTTTACAACGGCCCCATACTTGATCATTCTTATCAGTGGTAAAGAAGGGGAAGGGGAAACCGATGATGTAGAAGAAGGCTGAATCGAGAGATTTTACCGATCAAGTGAAAGTGGGATAAAAGATTCTTTTTGAAGATCAAGAGTTAGAAAGGTAAATGCCTTACTCTATTCCTTTCTAAAATTAGGAATAATGGCTGGATCGAAACCTAGGAATGAAAACCTTGCTTGGGGCTTAGCTTCTTAAAGCAGCTGTCCATGGAATCCACTTCCTTCATATTCAGATCATGATCTATAGACGTTCAATTGATCTCTTTGAACTCATGCACTTGAATTTGCTGCTTTAGTTTGTAAAAATAGGTACGAGAGCAACCACTCCTGATTCTAGACGGAGATGGCATGGGGTGCAATTGGAATCATTGTTGAAACATCTCTATATCCAATTGGTATAGTAAATGTGATTCAGAATTGGGTATTTTATTGGTAATTTTTTTATAATGATATGTGTGAGATTATTAACCCTTGTTGGGTTCTTTGGGCTGTTTGTGGTTTAATTCTCTTTTTTGGTTTGACCAGGCATAATCTATTGTGGAATTTCTCAATGATGACTTTGAATGGTAGTTGTGGTGGTCTATATACTAGACATAGTGGATGTGGTGGTCGTTCTGGTGGTGGTCATCGTGGTGAGTGGAAGTGTATTTATTGTGGTGGTACAAGATATACTGAGAATTATTGCTAGGATAAGTACGAGAGACCATTATATGCCAATACAGTTTCAATGGATACTTTCGGGGTTTTTTTAGTACATGGTGGTTGCATTTATTACTGATTCTCATGATGATCGTTCTTCTCAACTTTATCAGCTCATCTAATAATTATCTTCCGTGACCCAAAAAAAAAATAAAATCTAATAGCTATCTTCACTTTCTCCACATTTATCTAGTCTTACTACCGGTCTTGCTAATGAAGGTAACTTTGTATGTATGGTTACTCAACCTTTTTCATCATCTTGGATTATTGATGCAAGAACCCGTGCTCATATGTCTTGTACTTTTTCTCTTTTTTCTAATTTTTCGTTCGTCTAACTCACGTATTGTATTAGTTGATGACTCCTTTCTACCAATATAGGGGACCGACGATCTTCATCCTACTCTATCTATGCCATTGACATATGGCTTGTTTGTTCCTAATTTGTCTTTTAACTTGTTATCTGTGAGTCAACTAACTAAGTCCCTACGGTCTTTAGTGGTCTTTTTTCTATTTTCTTGTACTTTTTGGACCTAAAGAGGAAGAAGGTGTTTCGTGTGGGGCATGATAGCAAATGGCCTCTATTATTTAAATACTAGCTGTTCTTTTCTTGCCTTTAGTGCTATCGTGTCTCCTCTTTAATGGTACTTCTGACTGAGTCATCTTTCCTTGCAAAAGTTGCGTCAAGTTGTCTCTGATTTGAGTATTTCTTCTATATTAAAATGTGAGGTTTGTCAATTAGGCAAGCATCACCATAATTTCTTTTCCCTAGTTCTTCAAATTGTCAGTGTAGTCCGTTTCATGTTGTTCATAAAGGCATTTGGGGTTCTATAAGAGTCAAAAGCATTTCTGATTTTCAGTATTTTATAATATTTGTTGATGATTTCTCTCGTATAACTTGATTATTTCTTATTAAAGATCGATTTGAATTGCTTAAGTTCTTTAGTATCTTTTATAATGATATTCTAGTTTAGTTTGATATACGTATTAAAGTTCTTTGATCTGACAATGCCCTTCAATATACTCGATCATTTATGAAATTTTTTTTGGTGACATTATCCATCAAACCACTTGGCACATACCTTCTAAAAAGTGGTGTTATTGAACGTAAATATTGCTATTTGTTGGATGTTGCCTACACCTTGATGTTTTACATGCATGTGCTCAAAATATACAAGGTTGATGCTGTTCTTAGTTTAGTTTATCTTATTAATCGCATGCCTTCACCCGCTTTGGACAACAAATCTCCATTCTTGTTGCTTTATCCCGATAAATCATCATTTAGCCTCATTTCTCATGTCTTTGGTTATGTTATATTTATTCATCTTCTTGGTCCTGGTTAGAATAAGCTTTCCCCTTGCTCGAATAAGAGTCTTTTTGGGATATTCTCGGACTCACTCAGAAAGGTTATTGCTGCCATGATCTTATTTCTTGTCGATACTATCTTAGTACTCATGTTTTTTTTTGAGTCTTCCTCCTTTTCTATGTCGGGACATACAACTTTCCCCAAATTTAGTCTTTTCTACTCAGGCGAGCCGTTGTTGCCTATTGTTCCAGATTGTGTATCTTCTTCCTTCCCGATTACTACTCTTCCCTTGCAACTTTATCGTCATTCTATGGACAAACAAGTTGTTCCATATGCTCTAGCTCCACAACCATCCCTTGTTTCTACCGAGATCGTGCCCTATGAGCAATCAGGCAGTTCACCCTCTTTTGATTTACCTATTGCATTGAGGTACCAAACGTCCCATTTCTAATTTTGTTTATTTTCATCAATTTTCTTTGTCCTTTTGTTGTTTTGCATTGACTCTGTCTTTTGTGTTTGTTCCTAACTCTTTGAAACATACATTGACATCTCCTAGTTGAAAATTAGCTATAGATGAGAAATGAAAAGCCTTCATGAGAATTGGACATGAGACTTTACTACTCTTCCTTGTGGTAAGAAGCTTGTTAGTTGTCGTTGGGTCTATACAGTAAAGTGTTATCCCGATGGTTCAGTTGAGCGTTTGAAGGGATACTTGTTGCCAAAGGCTACCCCCAGACATATGGTATGAATTACCGTGAGACTTTTTCTCTTGTTACTCGTCTTAACTATGTTAGAGTTCTTATTTTTGTTACAGTTAGTTGTGATTTAGCCTTTATATCTGCTAGACATCGAGAATAGCTTTCTACATGGAGACTTACAAGAGGTATTTATGGTACAACTTCTAGGTTATGTTGCATCTAGTAAGGAACAATTACTGTATCGTTTGTATTGGAACGATAGTTCCAAGATTCGTGGATGGCACGTATAATCGAATACAAAAAAAATAAATTATTTGCTAACCCTAGAAGGTAGAATTAACGTTTACATTTGACGAGCATAACAACACAGATGAAGATAGATGCAAATCGAGCAGTCAGTTCAATAGATCTCACGATCTTCTACCGTATGTCATTCATCGCCAAAATTCGAATGTAGTGTGGACTGCAATTCTTCGAATTTTCTCTCTTACTCTCTCTCTGCCTTTTCTAAACGTAAACGTGAAGGTAAAGCTGCGGTTGAGAGAACTAGAGAGTGCATGTATTTATAGGCTACAATAAAGAGTCTAAGGAGAAATAAGGGTCGGGCTTCCAATGGGCCTAGGAATCCTATGTCAAACTCAAAACAAACATTCTAATGTCCATTAATAATACGTTAGTTTACTAAAAACTTATTATGGATTTCCAGACATTGTTTTAAAATTATATTTCGAGCTCTTTGTTATTATATGCTTAATAATTTTCCTATGTTTAAGATTATAGATGTCCAATAATTAATTAAATTACTGACAATTATATTTAATTGACTTTTTTTTATCCTTAATATCTTACCACTCAAGTTATTTGTCATGTTGGATAATTAAATCCGCCGGTAGGGTTTGACATGCACAAAACTTATGAGTTTGGTCAAGTGAACATCATCAATTCATTTAAATACTGGGGGTGTGGTTTCTTTTAATAATTAATTTTCACCATACAAATAATATCATCTCCTAATTCACTGAGTTTGTTGACTCAAATATGCATCTCACTCTTTTATGAATTAAAATAACAATTATTATGTACATGTATCCATTAAATATCTCAAGAATTGAAATTCTAATATTTCAAGGTGTTTCATAATGTTTTGATGCATTTACGCAATTATTTTAGAATGTTTCAATGTATTTCAAGATACTTTGGTATAAAAAAGAATCCTTCCCCTTGGTCTGATTCTAAAATCCATATTGTTGCACAGCACAAACAGTTGTCTCAAACCCTTCATGCCCTTCAAATCCTTCTATTGGAAAGCGTGTTCTTCAAAATGATGCTAGTGATTATTTTTGTGGTGCAGTTTTGTTTGAAGAAAAAGAGAGCCATAGATCTCTTTGTAGATATAAGAGTGGTGCTTTTAAGCCTTCTAAGCTGCATTACCATTCAACGTTTAAGGAGATTCTTTCTGTGAAAAAGAGGATTGAAAAGTTTAAATTTCATCTCATTGGTTACAATTTTCTTATTGTAATGGATATGTCTTCCTTTTCGCAAATGTTCAAGTTCAAAAACAAAACAAAAAAAAAAAAACCTTCAAAATGCCCAGCTTTTGCGATGGGCGGAATGGTTTTCTCGATGCTTTTTTGAAGTCAAACATACCAAAGGTGGTAAAAATGTTTTAACTGACTCTCTTTGGAGAACCCCTAGAAACAAGTCCTCTGGTACAAACGAACTCTACTCCTTAAGTATATCATCATGATATATTTATTTTTCGTCTAAGAACCCTTCATGTGTTCTATGCGCGGTTATGAATACAAATCTGTCAATGGTTCTAATACCAAGTTGAATTGTTATAAGAAAATGCTTAAAGAAAGAAGCTACAGAAGAAAAGAGAACAGAGAGAAAGGGAGAGTGGGGTTGTAGAAAGAAAGACTGAATTAGGATTTTCTCCCTCATGAGCTTGTATGAATAACCTGCTAAACCAAACCACAAAAATACCCATCAACATAATAATACTACAAAACACATATTCTAATGAGAACATAATAATTAGATAAATTAGTGTTTAGATTTATGTAATCCACATCATGTATGATTTTCAGCATTATCTTCTTGGCACTTTAGTATGTTTTATTCAAGTATGCATGATTCTAATTGATTCTTATGTAAACTCAAGGGGATGGTTTTAGACATGGCAAAATTGCTTACATTTCCTCTTCCACTTTTGTCGGTTGCTCATCAGCAACTCATAGCAGGTACAGATAAATGTCTGGTAAAGTTTTTCAAATGCATATATTAGGTGGCAATTGTTAAGAAAACCTGGTTCTTACTCAGTAGCTCTGCAAGTTTTGACAGGTTGTTCACATGGTCGCAGAGATGATGATGATGCTACATTGCTCAAGGTTGTCTTCTACGACCACTTGTTAAAAATACTTCCTCTTAATATTGTTCCTCTTACAATAATACCAGTTTGTGATTCTCTGTATATACACAACCATTTGAGTACAGGTTTGGGAAAAAGTACTTGGAGTGAATATTGTAGATGCAGCCAATGCGGAAACTTATGATCCTGAGGAACTGGCAAAACAAATTTCTGCTAAATCAGATTCCATAAACCGAATTGGTTTCATTGGTCTCGGAGCAATGGGATTTGGCATGGCAACTCACCTGCTGAGATCAAAGTTCTGCGTTCGTGGTTATGATGTAATTCTTCAATGCCATATATCTTTGTGCCCTGTTAGATTTCATTTCTTGCATATAACAGGATTGTTCCCCTTCTCCCTTTATTGACTTTTATGCAGTATGTGCTGAAGTTTCATCATTAGGAATTTATACACTATTAGAACTTTCTGGACCATAGAGTAACAAAATTCTAACAGATTTCTCTCAAGATCAATGGAAACAAAGCCAATACCAGGTTTTCATTTTTGCTTTAAGAAAATGAGAAGTGAAAAACTAAAATGTCCTACTTATATGTGATTAGCTCTGTAAATTTTCTGCTTGTCATACCAATTTCTAAAAACTTTCACCCTTGAAATTTGTGAAAAGGATGATCTTTGATTCTGCCAAGGATTGGTTGGATTACCTCACTTTTCTGTAGGTTATATATTCACTTACAAGACCTTTACAGATGCGGACTGGGCAGGTTTAGCGGATGGCACACATTCTACTTCAGGCTCAATGATAGGGGAAACGTTGTCACTCAAGTCGTGATATCTAGGTCTAGTGCTGAGATTGTGAGATTATGTGGATCCAAATCTGATTGGAAGAGCTAGTAATCTATAATGGTGGACCTATGAGACTAGATTGTGATCATTTGGCCGCTATCAATATTATTCATAACCCAATTCAACAAGGACTCAAAAACATGTTGAAATTGACCATCACGTAATTAAATAAAAGCTCACCAAGGGTCTTATTTTAAGATTTTTTTCCGATAGTTTGCAAGTTGTGCATGGGAGGTATCTATGCTACAACTTGAGAGGGGGTGTAGTGTTATGCTTTATTTCTAGTTTGGGGGTGCTTCAGTATTTTGTGTAACTGCTTATGATCTTACATGGACTGGGGTATAGCAGTGTTACTGAATACTACCCTCTTCTGAACATTTTTCCTTTCTTGTCCCTTCTCTACTCTCCCAAAGTTTTCTTTCTCTCTAAATCCATAGAACATTACATTGTAACTAATTTGTATCTTATAATTATAGTGAAAGTTTGTGCTGCATATATTTATAATATTCAATACAGTTGGCTTCAACATTTTATGCAAGCAATTTGATATGGACGGATCTGTCTTTGTGTATTCATACGTTTCCCTAAGTGTTGGAGTCCTCAAGCATGCTTTTATATATTAGACATTGTAGGAAATTTAGTGGAAACTCAAATTATCTTCACAATTGATGATATTAATGCTATATTTGCTTGATAGGTATATGAGCCAACACTGTCTCGATTTGCAAATGCTGGTGGCTTGAGGGGGAGCAGCCCTGCAGAAGTATCAAAAGGTAATTCCTAACATTTTCAGAGGTTGGCAGTTTGACTATGCAAAACTGGCAGATTTTTTGTCCAAAAGAATACCCATTGAGGTTTAAGGTCTAATTCAGTCAGATATTCTTGCACAACTGTTGCAAGACTGGCTGTTTCTACAACGATCATTTGTAATTTTGGTTCAACCTCTCTCTCTCACGTCTCAATCCATTGTCTTTAGAGTGCCTTGCTGAACCAGATGGCGAGCAACATTTATTGCCACTGTGGTCGCAACTGATGTTCAGTTGTCAATAACATGATAAACTTGGCAATTAATTTCCTCTTTTGGAAACAAAAGCCAAAAATACCTCGTATGTAACAATGTCATTGCTCTAAATGTGGCCTTGTGAGGGATCCTTCAAATGTAGCCATAGTCAGAAAAATATCACACTGAACTTCTTTGTATCCACATTCCAATGGTATACAACACAGTCGAATGGGTTTTGGTTACATAGTTGCGTCTATGTTATTTCACTATTATGACCTAAAGCGTGGTTTCATCTTAATTTTTTAGTAGTTTGACTTATTTCTCCACCATTAAAATTTTGAATTGGGAAGCACGGATACGGACAAGGGTGTCATATCCGATACGATACGGATACGGGGATACCACAAAATCCCAAAATATAGGACACGAGTGCGGCGAAGATACGACTAATTAAAATAATATAATATATTTATATATATAATAATATTAATAATAAAATTGAACAATTTAATATTTTATAATTAGACAAATAAGTTAATATTAAATTTGATTAGTGGGCTAGTATGTTATGGACAGTGGGTTAAATCAAATTGGGTAGTAGGTGACAACTAATAAGGGGTGATTGTAATGTAGCATAAAATAGAAGAAGTTTAAGGGTTATTTGTAATTTAGCAATTAGGGCAAAGAAAAAAAGACAATAGGAGCTAAAAAGCAACTAAGGCAAGCCGTTGCTAAAAAGGAAAAAAAAAAGCGAAAAAGAAAAAGCTTTGCTTTTTAGCAACTATGGCACGCTAGCGGACAAGTTTGAAGTCGAAGTCGAACTCACACATCTGGTTTGGTCTTCTTCCTTGCCGTCAGTCAATTGAAGACAAAGTCTTCTTCCTCTCTCTCTCGCTCTTGACCGGTGGAACTTGGGAGGGAAGGGAACGAAGTTAAACAAATGATCGAAGTCTTTCCCCTTTTATTTTTTCTAGAACCCCGCCGTATCCCTAGGTATCCGTCGCGTATCCAAGTCGTATCCGACTACAAAAATGCCCTCTCCTATGCAGGACACTTTTGAAAGTATCAGACACGTGTCCCACTGTCGGACACGCATATACTGCCACCTCGACCCCCCGTCAAGTATCTGTACTTCCTACATTTTGACAAATGATTTACTTTGAACTTGTTTCGAAATCAAGACTGACAGTATAGAATATTAAGAGTAAAAGATGGCTCAACCAAGAGGACAATGGCCACATAAAGAAAGTAGATATTGACCGTCTCCTTTAAAGGCTTAAGCTACTAGAGAGTGTAACAAAAGTATCTATTCTATAACACACCTCCTTACGTGCATGTTAGATTTAGGGCTAGGTACGTGGAAGTCTTGTAATCATTGCGTGGTGGCAAGATTCAAACACAGGACCTCCTACTCTGATGTAATTTTTTAAACTACAATCTCATCTAGCAACTTAAGCTATTAAAGAGAGTCTACCATATGTATTTTACATACTTAAACAGTTGGCACATATGGCTATGCCAAACTGAATTGCCATTGAAATTGTTAACAAATACATCACGTGACATCATGAATAGTCACCAAAAATCTTATTAGCCATAAACAATTAGCTCTCTCTATTTCTTCTAATGATTGAAACTTTGAGTTTGATGAGTCTGCCATTCGGGTATGAATTGTTGTAGAGATTGAACTACAAGTCCTCTGTCCTGGATTCCAGCATCGTGGGGCATGCTAGTCTGCTGAAAAACTACATGTTTTATGGTCCGGGTAGATTTTCATGATACTCATTTTTTCCTAGGAGAAAATGAGGCTGAGAAGCCACGGCAGTTAAGACCAACCACATTTGAAGTGAACCCAAAAAACCTGCCAGACTAGATGTTATGCATCCACTTGCTTTGTCTATGTTGTCTCAATTGATTCAATTTTTTTCGATTGGTGTTCTAGCTACGTTGTCACAACTATTTTTTCTGATACCAAGTCGATCTTTGATTCGATGCAATCATAGTCAAGAAACAAGTTGGAGATGCGAAAACAAGAAAAGAGGCTTGGGATGAAATAAGAGAGAGAAAAATGACAGAGCATTAAGGTTCCCTCTCTCCAATTGTGTATTAGAAAAAATCACTACAACCTACAAGTGGAACAAGTCTTTCTTCATAATTACGTGCTGCATGTCTCCATTTGTTTGTCATTTGTATGACTTTCCACTATATGAAGATTGCTACAGTTAAAACCTTTTCCTGTCAAACTAATTACTTTGTAGAGCAGGAACCTCGTTTTATCTGACACTTGTGTTCTTCCAGATGTAAATGTTCTTATAGTCATGGTAACAAATGAAGCTCAAGCTGAAAGTGTTCTATTTGGTGATCTTGGCGCTGTGTCTGGTATGATTCAATGTCTTATCTACATTTCATGAACAGTTCTGACCTGACCTTGTTTCTCTGTTTACAGCCCTTCCATCCGGAGCATCTATTATCCTTTCATCTACTGTTTCTCCTGCATTTGTCAGCCAGCTAGAGCGACGGTTGCAAAGTAGGTTTTGTTCTTTGTGCTTTAAATACCCTTTTTAGGACTGCAAATTGTGGTTTTAGTTTTTCCATTTGATACTAAAATCTTGAATTTCATTTTTCCCTTATATTATTGATTCTTCTTTTAACTTTGTTTATTCTCACAATTTATACTGTCTTATTATTGAGCTCTTTTCTTACCCTAATTTAGTTTGGAAGTGTTAATAACTTGTTAGAGCTTGTCCTACATCAGTATAATAGTGCCTCCTAAACTAGTATATAAGCATTGTGTGTCTTTGCACTTATTGCGAATTGGTTTGAAAGTGAAGGCAATATACATTAATATTGTGTCATAGTTGTGCTATAGGAGGCTTTTGGGCAAGACTGTATTTCATGGTATCCATCCCCCTTCCTTTGTACCATAAGTGCTCCTTCTTAGACTTTGATACCTTGTGGATTTTTTGGCTACCTCTACATGTTTGAAGGATTGAAATATCGTTTCAACATATGGTTTCAGTCAACTTGAAAATGGAAACGTTTTGAAAACGTAGGGAAAGGGGAGAAAAAATGGAAACGCGTGGAAATATATGGAAACGTTAGTAAAATCTCCTTATTTATATAGATAAGCTTAATAATTGGTTGATTGAGCATGTTTATTGGTTTAATATCCATTTATACAATATAACATCTAAGTTGGAGAAGAAAATAGAATTGATATAATGTGGAAGTCACTTAACCTAAATTTTAGATATTTAATATTCCGTAGAATTAATTGTACATATTTTACAATTAAGGTATATTTTAATAATTTAGCAAATAACAACAGTATAAAACATTAAAAGAGAAAAAGAGATGGGGATTAAAATAAACTGTGATAAAAGTAGTAGAAAGACAAAAAAGGGGGGGGGGGAGGGGAAGAGGGATTAAATCAGACGAACCACGGGAGAGAGAGAAAGAAAGAGAGAGGGGGGGAACGAAGGACTAGGGTAAGCTGCTGGCTGCATACCTCGCCACATCGCCTGCCCCAACCTAGATCTCCAAATCCAAGAGAAAGAGAGAGAAATGTGACTCAAAGCCACAGCCCACAGAAAACCATGAAGAATCAACAAAAAAGAAGAAAAAGAGAGAAGAAATAAGAAGAGAAAGGAAGAAATCTATACCAAGAGGCTGGATCTGAAGCTGGACGGCTCGAATGGAATTTCGCTTGAATTTGTTGAGATTTGGATTTAAGGACCTCAGGTAAGCTAAAACTCCTCTTTTTTTCGATTTCTGCAGTGTTCTTCCCCCCTCTCTCTTCATTTATTGGTTTCTTGGGATGAAAGGGGTAGAATCTCTCCCCTTTTATATAGTACTTGTCAAGACATGTCAATTGTTTCGACTGAAACATCACTGCTTTGACCGAAATATTCCAAAACAGTGGTGTTTCGCTTGACACTCCGAAATTTTTGATTTCCATCCCCGTTTCGTATCGGTGTGTTAAAAATTTGAAACGTTTTGGATATTTTAATATGATATTTTGATCCTTGCCCGTGACTGTGAGTAAGAATAAAAAATGGATTTTGGTGTATAATTTTGGCTAGCTAAAAAATAAGCAAGAATAAAAAATGGATTTTGGTGTATAGTTTCGATTAGCTAAAAAATAATTAAAATAGAGAAAAAATTTTGAAAACCTGTGGAAATAGATGGAAACATAAATTATAGTCTCTTTATTTATATAGATAAGCTTAATAATTAATTAGTTGAACATGTTTATTGTGGATTCATTTGGCTTTCAATGGAAATGGAAACGTTTCAGTTGTTTCGACCGTTTTGAGACTAAATTTAGTTGCTTGTTTGCAAGTTGGGGGTTGCACGTGTGAGGATTAAACTTTTGTTTCAGTGCGTAGTTTTAATAAAACCTTGAAAATGGAAACGTTTCAATAATGTTTCAGAAATATTTTGAAAACAAAATGAAAACAAATAAAAATTTGAAGATTAATTTTCAAAACATTGGTCGAAACATATCGAAATATAGGTCGAAACACCTCAAAACCTACCGAAACATCTCAAAATATTTCAAAATATAGGAATTCTGATATTTGTTTCAGTCTCCATTGAAACGGAAACTTTTTGGACGCTTCGACCGTTTCGAAACAAAATTTAGTTCCTTGACGAGGATTATTATAGTTTGTCCCACATTGGTATAATAGCACATCCCAAACTAATATATGGTACTTGTGAGTCTCTACACCCCATTCTACTGGTCTTCAGTTGAATACTCTTATGTAGTATCAGTTTTAGGCAAGACTCTTTGGGCCGATTTCTTTGATTTTATTATGCCTCTATGTGTTGACCGTAAGTGAACGTTGTTAGTTTTTTTTATCATGCCTTCTGATTCTTTTGATTATCTACCAAGTGCAACTGGGGGATGCACGTAGGCTTATCAATGAATTGTATTTGAACCGGATATAAGTAGATCCAAATATGAAATAAAATAAAAAACTAAGATTCAAATTAGAGTTGTATACCCAAGGAACATCATAATCCTAATCCATAAACTAATCCATCAATAATCAGACTGTTGGTCCAATAATCCGAACATAATTAGTAGAATTCCAATAGAGAGACATTGAATAATAGTCATTTTCACCAAATTTAAATACAACTAAATTTCGAACAAATTCTTCAAATCCAACAATTACAACATTTCATCTTTAATAATAGTCATTTCCACCAGAAATAAATGAAATTTTTTTTGTAGACGGAGTTGAGGTTTTCAAACCTGGAAAACCCTAGTTTGCCTTCTTTAGGTTGAAGCATATGCAAGTTGAGCTAAAATCCAAATATTGATGCTCTTATTACCCGAAGGATTTATGCTAGTTTGTATTTGATTTACATTGTCAAGATAAAGAAGCATATGAAATCCCCATGAATTGAAATCTAAACCTCTTTTTTCCTTTTAGATGAAGGGATTGGAGAAACGCGATGTGTAGTTGAATAGGAATGAGCAAGATGGTTTAACCTTTTGATCTTAAGGATCTAGCATTGCTTGAAGCTCTTTAGTAAGGTTTTGATCTCTTCTAGTTTCCGGAGGCTTACCGTAACTGAAAACTATAGCCCCATATATATAGACATCCCCCTGATTTGTTACATTCCTTTTATTCATAATGGTTTCAATTAGTACGATTGTGAATAACATACTTTAGAATGTATGCTTCTAAACGTGAGTAATTTGGCCCTTTGAGCTTTACAAATGAGCAATAATAATAAGTAGTACTCTCAACAACTCAAGTGCAATTGATCCTAACCATTCAATTTTCATGCCTCACTTTTGTATTTGGTCACATAGGGCTCTTTTTCTCACAATTAGCCAGTTGACCACTTTTTTAAGAGATTTGGGAATTTTCGAACCTTTAACTATATGTTCACCTATCACCAAGGATCAAAATGTCGTGTCGACACGTCCGAAACGTCCGAAACGTTTCGGAATTTCAACACTCCGAAACGAAACAGTAGTTGAATCACAAAATTCCAGTGTTTCGGTCGAAACGGTATTGTTTCGGACCGTTTCGGTCGAAACGGTACTGTTTCGGACCGTTTCGGTCGAAACGGCATTGTTTCGAACCGTTTCGACAAAACAGTGATATATTCGGTTCATTATGAATAATTACATTTAATACCCCATTATAATTACATTTAATACCCACTGTAATTACATTTAATACTCACTATAATTATATTTAATATCCCACTATAATTACATTTAATTCCCACTGCTCTTCTGTCTTTTATAATTTTTTTGTTATAAGAATAAATAATTACACTTAATACCCTACTATAATTATATTTAATACCCATTATAATTATATTTAATACATACTATAATTATATTTAATACCTCACTGCTGTGCAAGTTTTTTGTTTTTTTTTTGGTTATAAGTATTAACAATTACATTTAATACCCTAATGTAATTATATTTAATACCTACTGTAATTACATTTAATACCCACTGCAATTACATTTAATTTTTAAGTATACATAAGTATCATTAATTTAATTTGATACCCTTCATTATTAGTATTATAATAAAATAGTATTATTAATTGGATTATATTACCGTAATAATATGATTTGGAGTAACTATTGTCATCATATTTATGTCACATATGGAGTTTCTCTAAGTAGCTACCCAGAGCCTACACCGATGTATGAGCCTGCTCGACACTCCACAGGGGAATGGATGTAACCATGTAAGTATGTACTCATTAGCATTTCATGTGTATTATAAGACCTTAATATTATGTAAAAATGTGTTTATTTCATAAAAATTAAGTGTTTGAAACTAATTTAAGTGACTTTCGCCTCAAGTCAAGCCTTTTTTTCCTCAAATTTAAATTTATTCTTGTATAAATTGATGTTAACCTAATAAATATGTTGAATTAATAAATTATTTAGCATATCTTTATAAATTAATGGATTGCATTTGTATTTCTATGCGTTTCCATATTTTTTCTGCGTTTCCATTGCGTTTCCGAAATGTTTCCGAAACGTTTCTATTTTTGAGTTGACCGAAACGGTACTTCGAAACGAAATTTTGATCCTTGCCTATCACCAACACTTAAGAGTCATGTAAGGCCATTAATCATTGAAGTTAGTTAGGCTTCTAAGTACGAAGGTGAATGGTTGGGCTTGAACTTCGTTTTATGAATATTCACAAAGATTACACTATCCAAACACGCTAGTGCAAAAGAGAATTGGTTCAAGGATCTTGCATTATGACTTATAACCACTTAGTTCTTTGTCCCCTAATATGGCTCATAGTAAGGATCAAAATTCTATTTCGGTGTATTGTTTCAGTCACCTAGGAAACGAAAACGTTTTAACATATTTCAGAAACGTTTTGAACCGTTTCAAAACAAAATGAAAAAAATAAAATTTTTAAGAAATACTTTTTCAAATCATTGGTCAAAATACCAAAGTATCTTAAAACACTTTAAAACATTCCAAAATAATTGTGCAAATGCATTGAAATATTAAAAAATATTTCGAAATATTATGGAACACCTCGAAGTATTATAATTTTAATTTTATCATTGATTCACTTTGGTCTACTTGAAAACAGAAACGTTTCAGATGTTTTTACTATTTTGAAATGAAATTTTGATCCTTAACTACAAATTAAACTAAATTGATTACCATGATCAACAAGAAAAAACAAACAAAAGAAAATCTTTTTGCTTTTTCTTTTTTCAATGTTATTGATTTTTCTCAAATAACATAAAAACATAAAAATATGCATGACTATGTAATAGATGTGGGCTTGGACTAACTTTTGCTCCTTTTGGCCAATCAGTGCCATTCTCTTTTCTGGGTAAATCCTTCTTCTTCTGATTAGGTCATTCCCAAGGCACTTGTCCAAACCCCCTACACTTGTAGCATTGAAGTTCTTATCCTTTTTCCTTTTCTCCTTCTTTTTTCTCCTCCTTACTTTGGAAATTTAGGTCTACTTGACTTGCCTTTCGACTTGAAGGACTCAACTCCTTTAACCTTGACATACTTTCTAAATTCTTGCAAAATAGGCTGTCATTTTTCCCAAACAAAGTGACTCGGATTCATCTCCCTCTTTTCTAATAATGCTTAAAACAATGTCCGTTCGGTTTCTTAGGTAGTTGGAGTTGACTCCCGTTCTAAGCTGTCACCTTTACATGAAACCTTTCTTGTAGAGATTTCAAGATTTTTATTTGATCTCAGGGTCATTATACTTGGTACCCATCGAAATGATGAATTTATAATATCACTCAATCTATCATAGAAATCGCTAAATATTTCATCCTTTCACGTCTTCAAAGTTTTGAACTAAGAGTTGTACCTTTGGAGACGAGACATCTTACTTAAAGGTGTTCCTTCTTGAGAAACTTCTAAGATGTCACATGCTTTGTTTGGTGTCATAGTGTTGAATATCACATTCAAGCTTTTCGTATTTCACCTTGTAGAATCGTATTTAATTTTACACCAAGTCTTTAGGGATTTTGGTTCAGTGACCGGAACCTTACCTTCGGCAGAGGTAGTGGTGGTGAGAGGGCTCCAACCCTCTAGCCTATCAAACCACACTCTCTTGAAAATTAACTTTAGAAAAGCCTTCATTAGAGCCTTTTAATATGCATAATTAGACTCATCAAAGAGTGGTGGTCTAACAACTGAACCTCCTTTTTTAGAATCCATTAATAACCAACTGGTAGTTTTAAACTTATAATGAACCACAGATCACAAAACAACTAGGTCAAATAGACAAATATGGAATGAGTGCCTACAAAATGCCTATGTGCAATTCTGCTGGGAGACTAACTCTGATGGTTGGGATAAATGTTTTAGTGAGTTAAGTTGTATTTCAATATCTACGCATATAATGTTTAAATGCACACGTTGGATCAAGCTTTAATCAGATGAGATTATCATGTATCCAAATTTGAATCGTGTTTTAAAGATCCAAACAAAGCCAGATCGGATTTGAAATAATGGATTAGAATGATGATACATATCTAGTTAAACGAACTTGGGCTCAGATTGCATTTAGACTAAAAGTGGTCCATTGGCTGGCGTAATCGCACATGCGGTGTAGTGTTAGAGTTTGTCTATAAAGCACAGATACTTCTTAGACCCTATGAGATTTGTCACTTAATTACTCAGATCTCTTGATATTTGAAATATTACATACAAACCCCCAAAGTTTGTACGCTCATAACACTTAGACCCTTGCCGTCAATGTCCGTTACTATATGCATTAGTAAATTACACCCAGATCCCTTGAAATTTCTAAGCGTGTAATACTTAAAATCCCCCAAGTTTAAAATGTTATACCTAAACCAAAAATACTCCGATTAAATATAGAATATCAAATATTTTAAATTTTACAACTAAAATTCATAGTCTATTATAACATTTATTGAAATAAAATTAAAATTAAAAATCTAATTGTTTCTTAAAAAATCATAATTAGTATACAATTATACTATTTATTGTTTAAAATTTATGTTTTAATATGAATGACTTAGACTCCTTGTTTAATTTTTTAGTTTTATTCCAATAGATATTATAATTGTATATTAATTACAATTTTTTAAGAAAAAATTAAAATTTTATTTTTAATTTTATTTCAATAAATGATACAATAGAACATGAATTTTGATTGTAAAATTTAAAATATTTCACTTTCTGTATTTGATTTGAGTATTTTTGGTCCAAGTATTATAGATCTACAAACTTTAGGAGGTCTAGGTGTAATTTACTAATGGATATACTAACAAAAATTGATGGCAAGGGTCTAAGTGTTATGCATGTATAAACCTCAGGGTATTTATGTAATATTTCAAATGTCAGGGGGTTTGAGTGATTGAGTAACAAAACTCAAGGGGTTTGAGTGTAATTCTCCCTAAATAAAATATATGGATATTTTGCGGATAATGAGAAGTAAGCATAATTTTTAGTTTTAATCTTTATTCCTCCTTTCGATTTTACATACAATGTAGTAAATTAACAAAGATTCATATAACTTTGAAGACACATGGACATGAGTGCTTTTCAAGTATTATTCAGTATCACATGTTCAAAGAGTATAAATTAGTTAATTACACTATAATTTTAGCAACAAATACTTCTAAGCAAACAATCTAGTTAATTTTTTGTTCTTATTCCTTTAATTGATCACATACATTTATAGATGTACCATAGTGAGGCGATATGTACCTTTTTGAAAATAAAAAATTGTCAATGTTTTTTACTATGTTTAAAGAATCACTAAAAATACAGTCATCAAGTCGTATAATAGTACAAATATAAAATATATTTTTTATAGACGTATCCTAACCTCTGTATCCTATTTTTTTGGGTTTTGTCGTATCGCTGTTTCCGTATTGTATTATACGGGGTATCTTATATTCGTATTCGTACATCCTAGGAGCTTGTCTTGCAAGCCTTGTGATTCTGTACACTAATTGCAAATTGGTTTTGAGTTGAATGTTTGATCATGGTATCAAAGTTGGGTTATGAGAAATTTGCTAGGTATCAACTTTATTAAAAACTTATATTGTTTCAGATTTATTGGACAACTTTTTTCAAAAAATTAAAAGTTTGTAAGGAATTTGTACATTTTTGTATGTCTACAATCCTCATCAATATTTATATGTTTTTTAACAAATTTAGATGTTGTTGGGCGAAAAGCAGAGTGAATGACACTTTGCACCCTCTAAGATCTTTAAGTTCTCAATTTGCACCTTGAAAGATTGAAATTCTCAGATTGCATTGTCAATGAGATGAAAAGGTAGAAATGTGGTTTGTTTTAATAAAATAGAGTAAATAATTTTCATGGAAATTACTTAAAATTGAGTAATATACAAATAATTGAGTACAAAATTAGAGAAAATAAAAAGCGTACAGAAAATAACAAACATGTGGTTTTGGACCGCTTTACTATCTTTTTAGATGATTGAAGTTGCAATTTGCAATTTTTTATATTTTAGGGTTTAAATTGAGAATTTAAAGATCTTGGTAAAGCGTCATTTGCGTAGAAAAGAATAATAGAAGATGTGCTGAACCGAAACTAATGAGCATGCTTTGTTTTTTGGCAAAATACATTGCTCTATTATTACCCTCTCGATAAGGCATTTCCAAGCTGTCAATTTAACAAGATGTTCGAGTATTTTGATGGATTGACATCTCAGCAACTGTTTGTAGAACCTAAAAATCATACGAAATTCAGGAAAGATCACCAACAATCATAGCAAATGGGATATTTCTTGGTACAATGACCACTTAGTTATATTGGAGCTTGTTCCATATCTATATAATAGAACTTCCTAATCTAGTATACGGGCCTTGTGGGTTTCTCCACCCTTTGTCAATTAGTTTTAGATTGGATGCAATGATGTTGGAATTGGGCTTCGATGGGCTTTGGTTTGGGTAAACCTCTTTGTTTTAACTTCATTGATTTGGTATTGTTCCTCTCTACGGTTATGTCATAAGTGCACCTTGTTATGTATCTAATTATGTCTTTTGATTCTTTTATCTACTTCTGCAAGTGCAAGGCGAGTGGGGTTCGCCTGTGCTAGTAGTGTTAGAGCTTGTCCCATATCTGCATAATATCTCCTCTCAAACTAGTATATGACCTTTGTGTGCCTCTCTAGTCTCTACCAATTGACATTTGTTTCTGAGCTAGATGATTTAACAGATACTAAATATTCTGAGTTATAGTGCTCCCAGTGGGAAAATATCAGTTGGCACATTTCTTTTGTATGTCCATTCAACAAATCACATAGCTCCACGCCAAATGCTTTGGAATGGTCTCTTCTACACTTGATGATTCCTTTAACATGTTTGAGGTCCAAGTATTGGCAAGAGCTTTATTATGAATATTATATTTATGTGAAAGTGGCAATTTGTGACGTTAACATGACTTGAGCGTGACATGAAGTAGTTTTGCATCGAGCTTGATTGTGTTCATGATGTAAATAGGTTGATAGAATCAACCCATTTTCTAGACATACCGTGTTTAAGTTTTTAACATCAACCCACTGACACAGCTATGAAACATGGACAAAATCTTCCCTGTGACCTGAATGTAAACCATTGAACCTGTCTAGTGCAGTTTTTTTATTGTATATTACTGTTTGTTTTTTACCTAAAAATATGATAGATGCAACCCGTTAGACCCATGAATGCTGCCAAACCTAATGTGACCCATTTATCAAATGCGTTACAAGATGTGTAGTGTGTCATTGATGCAATAAATAGGTAGTGATATAGTTAGAGATATTGACATGAGTTGAAAGAACCTAGCTTAGATATAAAGAACTTTTACTTTCTTTCTCTCTCTCTCTCTCTCTCCCTCTCCTCCCCCCCCCCCCCCCCCCACACACACACAAAAAAAAAAAAAAAACCAGATTTCCATCCATTTTTAGACTTATAAAATGGGGTTTTGATCCTCAACTAAGACTAAAAATATGTGGTTTGGTCTAATTATTCTGTCAATTCCTCCACACTAGACTAGGTAAAGGCCCATAACCTCAACTTCTAATCTGTGCTTCAGCCTCCTAGATTGTATTTGCAGTCTTTTTATGTTTGTTTGGTACTTAAACTTTTTTGAAGACTGAACTGAACTTTTTAATTCAATTATGTTGTAGACTGGATCACAGGACATACACAGTGAGTCAAGTTTTCACTGCCAACAATACATGAATATCATCATGTTTTTATGGCAGAAGATATTGTATTACTTCTCTTAAAATCTTTGTGGAAGTAGAAGGGGAACCTCAAATTTGAGAGACCTCTTGTGGTTCCTTGTTATTTAGGACATTTGATGTACTTATTGTCCTTGTAACTTTATTGCATGCAAGTGTTTCACCATTTGATTGATTCTTAAAAGGTCTGCTCAATGCTTTTCTGCTTATTTTTCATTGCGGTCACCACATAAGAGTTCACTTGACCATTTTTATAGATGAGAACAAGAATTTGAAATTGGTGGATGCTCCTGTCTCTGGTGGTGTTAAGAGAGCCTCCATGGGAACACTAACGGTGTGAAAAATTGAAATATTTCACTTTTCTGAAGATATGGTTCTTCTATCTATGTTCTTGTCCTAAAATTAACTAATGGTAAATTATTGGTAGATAATGGCATCAGGTACAGATGAAGCCCTTAAGCATACTGGTTCAGTTCTGTCAGGTAATAAGAATTTTGGATAAAATTGATTGAAAGATCGTTTTAATTTTCCATCACATGATCTCACGACTCATCAACTGATCCTTTTATGAACAGAATTAAGCGAGAAACTCTATATTATAAAAGGTGGTTGTGGGGCTGGAAGGTACTTCTTATCTGACCTTTGTCCTTTCATGATTGAATTGCCTTTTACTTGGTCACAAGGGCTTATACATGTAGGGCCTTGGGGATTCACAAATATGCAGTATGTGAGCATATGTTATACATAAAATGTACTGATGCATCTCATGATACATTCGATGGTCTGAATTCACTAAGGAAACTTATGTTGGTGATCTCATTTTGCCATATTCGTTTTGCCAGTTGTGTAAAGATGGTTAATCAGCTTCTTGCCGGAGTTCATATAGCATCAGCAGCCGAGGCAATGGCATTCGGGGCCCGATTGGGTCTAAATACAAGATTGTTGTTTGATGTTATCACAAATAGTGGCGGAACATCTTGGTATGCAGCGTGCATTTTGGAATTTTCTTTTCATTACTCTTGCAAAATCTTCTTATAGTGATTACATGTACTTTTGTTTGATCTCAACATGCAGCTTTTTTTCGCGACAACTTAATTATTACAAAATTATTTTTGGCCGATTGAAGTGATCTAGATCATTTTTTTCTTGGTTTTTGGCCCATTTCAAAGTTTAAGTCTCTTCTAGTGCTAGTACAGGAAATGGCATGGCCATTGGTTTATTGGACCAATATATTCAACTTTAGAAGCCCGCGATTTTTGGTGCAAGGGGTAATGTAATTGGCAATTTTATTGAAATGGTTTCTATAATTTTTAGTTTTTTTTTTGGATTATTTAATTAGAGAGTTTTTTTTGACTCTGTTATGTTTTATAAATCGTGATAGTGAGAGTTTGATTAGGACACGCTTGTAGAATTAGGACAATAATTTTTGTTCTGGTAGGAGATTTAACTTAGAAATAATCATGTAATCTTTGATTGTTTGATTTGAGTGATACTATGGCAATTCGTACTATGTGGAAAATTAATATCTTATGACCTAATGGTATCCCTTATTCTTTGTTCTTCTCCTCCTACCGTCCTGTATCAATAGGTATCTGAGCCTAAATTTAGATCCAAACTATCCTCTGATTTGAAAACTATCATTCATCATCTAACCATCATCATCGCTAATATCACTTCTCATGACACCACTTCTGTGAACAGTATCATTTTCGTCGTGGTTACTAATCATCTGGGTTGTCATTGTCAATGGTTTTCATTTCCGCCAACAAGGTCCGACAATGCCAACAAGAACCACAGGTTGCCAAACCATATGCGCCTTGTATTGCATTTCAACTTCATCAAAATATTGTATTCATCGGGGTCTCTTGTCATGGTCAAATGTCATCATTGATCAATGTTGTGAATCCATCTCATCTCAAAGTTGTTGTGCATTTAAAAAAGGGAAGTTTGGCATCTAGGGTTTGAGAATTCAAACTAGATTGCTTGGATTGTCAAGAAGAAATGGTCCCAATTCATTTGGTGGGTTTTAAAAGTTTTGACTTGATTTTACTTAAACCCTAGTCCGACCAAATCCATATCTTTAAAAGAACTAACCCAACTTCTTTAATACTTGATCCAATTTGAATATTTGGCCTAGTATCCAAATATACAACCAATCCACGTAATCCAACCTAATAAAAGTAGCCCAAGCTCATGACTTAATTTGACCCACCTCGTCCGAGTCCCATAACTTTTTTAAAATCACACAAATTACCATCAGGGTACATTCTATTGATTGTTTATGTGGATGATATTGTCATTACTGGTAATAATTTTGAGGATCTTGCCAAGTTAAAAACCTTCATGCAGGATCGATCGATCGATCTCACACTAAGGATCTAGGAAAATTCAAGTATTTGTTGGGTATTGAGGCTGTCAGATTTAAGTGGAGTATTTGTTTATCTTAGAGGAAATATGTACTTGACATGTTAGAAGAAGTAGGTTTGTTGGATGACAGACCAATTGATATTCCTATAGATCTGAACCAGAAGTTGTTGATAGATGATGGTGTACTGTTTGAGAATCTAGGCCAGTATCGTAGGTTGGTTGAAAAGTTCAATTATCTCACTATTACTTGACTGGATATTGCCTATACAGTTAGTGTGGTAAGTTAGTTTATGGGATGCCCTAGAGTTCCACATTGGGAGGCAGTTATTCGCATCCTTCGATACCTCAAGCGTGCACCTGATATTGGCTTGTTGTATCGAGCCAATGGGCACCTTAGGGTGGAGGGTTTTTCGGATGCTAATTGGGCTGGTTCTCCCGTAGATCGGAAATCAACCACTGGTTGTTGTACTTTATTGGGGGGTAATGTGGTCACATTGAAAAACAAGAAACAAACAGTGGTAGCAAGATCCAGTACTGAAGTTGACTATAGATAATGACACATACAATTAGTGAGTAGACATGGTATTACACCTCTGGAAATTAGCTTTTAAGTTCAGTCTCCTTTAACAATTGTTATGTGATAATCAAACGGCTATTCATTTTGCTGCCAACCTAGTATTTCATGAGAGGACCCAAATATATCGAAATTAATTATCACTTTATTTGAGATAAGATAATAGCCGGAGACATTACAACTCCATATGTAAAATTTGAGGATCAACTTGTAGATGTGTTTACCAAAGTATTGAGCCGTACTTGTCTTACAGGCATATGTTTCAAACGTGGATTATATGATGTATATGGCCCAACTTGAGGGTGTAGAGTATTATTATTATGTAATTACCTCTTAAGGGGATATCCGTCCTTTGTATGTTTACGAGATGACTATAAATACAAGTTGTTAATGAGAGGTAGGTTAAGTTCGACCACTCTTCGTTTCTCTCTAATATTGTGTTCACCCCCTAAACTTAACACTTTCCAAATATTTTAATCAGCTAAAGCACATTCTGTAAAACTCCCTTTTATAAGGCATGAAAAAATAGTGTCATTAGTAGACTGAAATGTTGTGCAGTTATGCTCTTACTATCCACTTGCATTCCCCTTTATCAATCTCATCGCTTTTGCTCTAGCAATCATCCTACTCAAAAGATTAACCACCAACGTAAAGAGAAAGATGGGATAAATGGCACCCTTGCCTTAAGCCCGTAAAGCATTAAACCACTTCTGGTTTCTCCATGCATTAACACTAAAAAGTATAAAAAAAACCCCTAATCTACTTGCTTCATCTTTCCCTACTACCCTTCTTTTTCAACACAAATTCCAAAAATCCCAATTTACGCAATCACATTCATCATATCAAGTTAGTTGTAGCCATCCAGAGATTTTAATTCCCTTTATCTGATTGCACTGAGTGTTGTCATCTGGAACCAGCATCACCTCATCTGCAAATAACTTTTTCTTGACTATGCTTGCCAAATTATTTGTATTTTCACTAGTAATAAGGATATGATGATGGACCTTGATATAACAAAAAAGTAAACAAATTACACATGGAAAAGTATCAAGGTTGAAGCCTGGTAGTTCAGAGTGGGTTTCTGGGAGATGCTATATGCAAGAAGCTAATTTGATAAAAAGAAATAACCTGCTGAAAAAACTTAGGATTAAAGATAAATCAGTTAAAAAGCATCCATGAAATGCTTTTACCCTCCTACAGTAGGCAAATGATATCATAGTATCTATCTTCCCATTACTAAATCTTAACTGTCATGTGTATAAATAAAACTTAATTCACCATAGAGCTAGTGCTCCCTTATTTTGTTGCCAATGATAGAACCAAATGACTTAGGAACCTAATTTTTGTTGGATTCAAGATGCATTGCAAAATGCCAATACTTCCAATCTCGTAAAGAGTTATTCATCAGATTACAGCTTGATCTGTTTTATGAGCCAAATTACAGTACTGAGCTGAAAGGTGGGGAGATTACCTTTCCCAGCATTCATCCGTTGCAAGCTCATTGGCTTGCTTCTATTTGATTGTGATTCATCCAGCAAAAATAATAACAACAGTATCAGTAAGAATGATAATGATGCTTCATATCATACTTTTTCCCAATATATTATGCTTCTTCAGAGACATAATTCTTTTTGAATCTCTAATATGTCCGAGATTCATATTAGTGTGAATCTTCTGATTTTGTACATGGATGTAGTAAGTAGATTTGTATACTGTTGCAGGATGTTTGAGAATCGTGCTCCACACATGGTGGACAATGATTATACACCATTATCTGCACTAGATATCTTTGTGAAGGATCTGGTCAGACTGATATCCTTTTCATACAATTGTTCTTTTGCAATTTGATTTTTGGGTAATTAAAATCATGGTTGTGATTGTCCACAGGGCATTGTTTCTCGTGAATGCTCATCCCGTAGAGTTCCACTTTATATGGCTACTGTTGCACATCAATTATACTTAGCAGGTATGGTTGGATGGGTAAAGATGTATTTTACTTAAGTTGTGTCATTAGACTGAGGAGTTATCTTGCACCTTTTGTGGAAGTTCATCAGTTTTGTGTAAAATTAAAATGTGGGTTTTAGATCAAGACAATCGATATATTGGTGCTAGTGTGCATATGTATCAGTTATCTTGATCATTTATTCTTTTACAAATATCAAAATGTGTCTGGTGTCCTGTTTATTCTCTCAAAACTGTTGTTTTCATGCCACTGACTTTTGTGGAGCAGGTTCTGCTGCCGGATGGGGTCGATTAGACGATGCTTCTGTAGTTAAGGTATGGACGTGTGATTTCTATCTTTGTCCTTCCAATGTGAGAGTCCACATAATAAGAATACGAGGTTGTCAATATCTTCTCAAATGATTTGATAAGTTCAGAATTAAGTGAAGACAGAGCTCTCTTCACCAAAAAGACGTTTACTCTTCTTTCATATAAGTGATTCAAAAATGGAAATTTACATAGTCAAGGTTTCATAATATGACATATAGAATTTGGAAGTGAACAAGTATCAGTGTACAAAGATCATCATGATTTTAGGTGAGATGTTAATGGTGTAATAGTATTCTACTCAAATCTTCACAGGTTTATGAGACACTCACAGGTGTCAAAGTTGAAGGAAACCTTCCCATTCTCAGCACAGAATGTGTGTTGCAATCTCTTCCATCTGAGTGGCCAGCAGACCCCTTCAAGGATACATGTAGACTGGGTCAAAACAATCAAAAAACTTTGGTTGTTCTGGATGATGATCCAACTGGAACCCAAACCGTCCATGATATTGAAGTACTAACAGAATGGTGAGTGTTTTGACAGCTATCTTAAGCTTATGGCTTTCAAAGATTGCTACTTAAGGCATTACTTCAATATCTCAAAAAACAAATATGCTATGAACTGCTGTATTTTCTTTTGGGTACTAATATAATTTGTCATTTGATATCCATAACCATGATGTAAAGAAACACCTTGGACCCCCGACTATTAAAAAGGAATCCCTTGGACCTGTCAATGACTCAAGTTCATTGGCCACTGAATGTGTATCTTGTTTTCAGGAACATCGAGTCACTTGTTGAACAATTCAGTAAAAGGCCTAAATGCTTTTTCATTTTGACCAACACCCGGTCACTGAGTTTTGATAAGGTAATGACCTTCCTCTAACATATACTTTTTGATATTTGAGTTTGTTTTGTGTCAAGAGAAAAGACGTAATTATTATAAGCAATGCCTACTGCACATAAACTCACTTCTATTATTTTATTGGAATTGTAATGTTGAATACAAATTCTACTTTCTTCAGGCCGCTACGTTAATAGCAGATATCTGCAAAAACCTGTGGACGGCATGCAAGTCTGTTGAGAACATTGACTATACTGTAGTTTTAAGGGGTGATTCGACATTACGAGGTCATTTTCCAGAGGTACGGACAGAGCCCCCTTATTTGTGTCATCTTTATTGACTCTAAATCGTGCTTTTTAACCTGTATTTTTAAATACTGTGTTAAACAACCCTCTCATCTAAAAGCTTAAGCTGGTAAACAGGGTGTACTTTAAATATTTATACTTTAACATACCCCATCACGTGCATGCTTGGTTTTGTGCATTGCCGGTGAAAATCTTGTTAATTAATCGGGTGGCGGTAACATTCTAACACAATACCTCCTGCGTACTTTAAACATCTTGTCATATTTTTCCAGGAAGCAGACGCAGCTGTTTCAGTACTAGGTGAGATGGATGCGTGGATTATTTGCCCTTTTTTCCTTCAAGGAGGCCGTTACACCATTGGAGATATACACTATGTTGCAGATTCCAGTAGGTATTATTCTCTCTTGTCTTCTGTCGAACTTTGCAAAACCATGTTTACATGCTAAACACGTAAAGGAGCTTGGTGTCTTTAGACTTGTCCCTGCAGGGGAAACAGAGTTTGCGAAAGATGCTGCATTTGGCTATAAATCTTCAAACCTGCGTGAGGTATTATGTGGATGAAATAGGTGGCAGTTCATGAATACTCCCCGAGAAAAGATAAGAGTTAATTGTTGTTTTGTTACGTTGTCCATTTGAAATTTAGTGGGTAGAGGAGAAAACTAGTGGCCGCATACCAGCTAGCAGTGTTGCATCTATTTCCATTCATCTATTGAGAACAGGTGGACCTAATGCTGTTTGTGAGCGGCTTTGCAGCTTGCCAAAGGTACAAAGGACAAGCCTCTGCCTGAATTAGTTTTTGTTTTCTATTCATTTCATATTGTTCAGTTGATAGTTCTTTCCAGTTATTCACTTATGATAAGTAAGCTGGGGAGAGAGAGATAAAGAGAAGAGGGACTGAGAGAGAGAGAAACATGAAGATAGGGTATAAGTTAGCCCTGCACCTCTGGCAAAGCTACATATATATTGTTATGGGGTACCCATCATAATGACAAAATACTCTCGCTTTTATTACTAACACACACTTACCCTCAAGATGGACTATATATATCATGTAGTTCTAGCTTGGAACAAATAGTATGAATTTTATCTCTGGAAATAGACTTGGTGAAGGTATCCACAATTGTTTTTTAGATCTTATGAAACACGTAGTAATCTCTTTAAACTGCAGGTTTTGATGAACAAAATGATTGTCAACCTCAATATGTTTCATACATTCATGAAAAATTGAAGTTGAAGTGATATGAAGTGCGACCTAATTATGAAAAACAACTTCTGCAAAAATAGGTCGCACGTAATATGAGCCATAGTCCAGCACTAGATTAAGCAACTACACTTTGTTTTTTTTTATTTTTCTAATTTGCCAAATTCCCTCCAAGAAATTTGTAAATACCCTGATCCTTTATTTGACGAAGAATTCGTCGAACCTGCATTGGTAAAACTAACCACTTGCAAATGTCCATGAGCTTTGTCTAACAATACTTGATCAGGAGCCTTTGAAGTATCTTAATCAGTTAAAAACTTGATAACTGCTTTCGACTGAGGTATTCTTGGAGGTTCCATTTGTTAGAGTATTTTAGTATTAGTGATAGTTTAGTCATTTAGTTTTTTTGTTTTGTCCTACTATAAAAGGTCTCTACGTTGCATCTTTATTATTAATGCTGTAATCAAAACCATTAGCCGATGTAATGTTTTCTCTCTCTTTCTCTTCTTCTTTCTTTATTTTATCAAAGTTTACATGGTATTAGAGTATGTTCCGATCCTTAAACATGATTAGAAACAGAACAGTGTTCATTAGAAGCTGATTTGTGTCACACAAGGGTTGACGTCACTGTCGCATGAGATGACATCATCAACTAAGCAGCTTTCGACACCACCAATTTGTTTAACTATGTGTGGGCTCCAACATGGTGTAGTTTTTTTTTTTTTGTAGCCTTTTGGTATTGTTTTTGGATTTTTGAATATTTTTCAGATTTTGGATCGAAAATCTTAGATCTAAAGATTCCACATTTTTCTTGAGATTGCTGCTTTGATTCACTGCTGAGAGGTGCAATTAAGGTTTTCTTGCACTCAATTGAAGAAATTGAAGCATCTGGAACTGATTTTTGAGAGGAATGCTGGCCACTCTTGGTTCGGCCAGAAGTTGTTTGCGACAGAAAAGGTCACAAACTGACCTATTCGTGTCTGCCTGGTGAAGCTATGCCTGCTGTGGGTTCTGGGTTATTGACTCCATGAGTTTCCTAGTTTGTTCGCTTGCAATTTATATTGGTTGACCTGCATTGGATCTTCCTCACGTTGGTTCTTTCTCTCTGTTGTTCTTCTTTTTCATTTATAGAGGTTCTTCTGATTGTTTTTCTTGTCGTCTGATTGTTGCTTAACCTCTGAATTTTACGTCCCTTGGACTATTCAACAAGCAAGCGGGTTAATAATTTGTTGTGGGCTTTTGGTAGCGGACAAGGATCTAAATGCCGTATCGATACGCTCGAAACATATGAAACGTTTCAGCATGGTTCAAGGCATCGGACAAGTCCGATACGACTCGGCCGAGTCGTATTCGCCTTGGCCCTTATCGATACAATATCGATACATGGTACACGAAAATGACGAATTGATCAGATATCACCTATATCTCGGTTCAACTCGTTACTATCGGCTGATATCAGAGGAATTCGGTTTAACTCGGACGAGTTCTACCGGAATCGATCCGAGACAAAAAAGCCTGTGAACAATCTCCCAAAATCTGTAAAATCCTAAAAATCAGTCACTTTTTCAGGCTAAACAAATATCCTAAAAAAAAAAAGAGGATGGGAAAGAAAGTAAAGATAGGAAGGGAAATATAGCAAGACTAGTCTGCCGATACTCATAAGCCCATGTGAAACTTAACCGGACAGGGCAGAAACCACATGAAATTGATAACCTAAATCCCTCTTTTTCAACTATAAAAACCAAGAGAACTAAGGATTTACCACATACCTCTTGATCGAACGAAATAGGGTCTACAATTTTCATCTTCTGTTTTCTCTTTGTTCTTCTTTCTCTTTTGCTGATTTTCTTCGGTGCTGTGACGATAGGCAAAGAATCGCTATTGCTGTGACGATCGGAGTGGTTCTACTTCTCCCTGCCTTTCTCTCTCGTTGTGACTCTCTCATCTGAGACGACTTTAGGTGGGTAGGGAAAAAGAAAAATTTGACTTAAAAAGTAATTTTTTTTTTATTGAGTTTTTAAATATTTATTTTTGCCTTTAAAATCATATAAAAGCAATAGATTAAGTGGTAGAGATCCAGGTTACCAATCGAGAAGTCATAAGTTCGATTCTTATATCCCTCAACAAGCTGTGGTTTTTTTTTGTTCTATCTGGCTTTTTACTTAGTCTTTAAATATATTTATTTGTCTTTCAAGTCATATAAAATCAATAGCTCAGTTGGTAGAGGTGCCTGTTACCAAACTGGAAGTCGTAAGTTCAACTACTATGTCCTTCATTCAACAGGCAATTTTTTTTTTCTGTATTTTCTGGGTGCTGTTGTATTTTTTTTTTCTGGCTGCTGCTTTTTTTTTTTAGGCTGTTTTTTTTTTGTGGTAAACAAAGTTTCAATGTAAAAATTATATACATTTATATTTTATAATAATAATACATTAATGTGGCAATGAGTATGGCTCAATATGTTCCTAAATGCCTACATTGAACATTGATAATGATAATTATTTTCGGTAGCTATTTTATGTTTTATTTTAATTATGTTTAATGTGTTTTTAGATGTATTGTGTATATATGATGCATGAATGATGATGTTTATATTTTTAGAATTTTCTATAATTTTTTCAAATTTTTTTGGAGCTTCTATCTTCCGTTTTGAGCATATCGGCCTATATCGCGCCACGACTAATGTGCATCAGTGCCCTCCGAGTTAATGACCGATATCGCGACTTTGAACAATGACTGTTTCAGTTTTTCAACACACCGACACGAAACTAAGGAAGAATTGCAAAAATCAGGAGTGTTGATCGAAACCCCACTATTTTGTACTATTTTGGTCGAAACGGTGGTGTTTTTGCCTAAACACAAACAGTGATTCGACCACTTAAGCAAAACAGAGAAAAGAATAAAAAAATAAAAGAAGACAAACAGAGGGGAGGAAAAAGGCTCAAGAAATTGAAAAGAAAAGAAAGATCTAGATTACCCGAAGGTTGTGAATTGATCCAGCCTCCAGGTAGGTTTTTCTTCTTTCTTTATGTTTTTTTTGTTCTATCTTCTTTCTTTGCTTGTTCCTGGCATCTCTCGATTGGATCTGGGTTTGCAACCAGTCGCTATATTTCCTCTCTCATGCGTCTGTGTCGTGATTCTAGAATGATTTGGTCACCTCCTATATAATTTCCTCCCCCTTTTTATTTTGTTTTAATTAACATTAATGTCATTTCAACCAGCCTTTTTTCCTTTGTAATTGTTAATAGCCCCTATAATTAATAAATAACTTATTATTGTTAATTAACTTATCAACATAACTGCAATTAATTTTATGTTATATTTAATATGTGAAATTAAATATAATTAATAAATAGCTTAGTAATTCGATGACACAATTTAAATTAGTAATTTAGTATTATAATAGCATGCAAATAATAAATTTGTACTCATTTTAATTTAAAAGTGTTACACATGTCATATTTAATTTAAAACGATCATATATACATGTAAAATGTGTTTGTTTTATGAAAATTAAGTATTTAAAACTAATTGAAGTGATTTCCGTCTCGTGTCTAACCCTTTTTTTTTCCTCAAACTTGATGTTATCTTATATAAATGGACATTAACCCAATAAATATGCTCAATTAATCAATTATTAAGCTTATCTTTATAAATAAATGGATTGTATTTGTGTTTTTATATTTTTTTTTTCATTTCTATTGTGTTTTTGAAACGTTTCCATTTTCGAATTGACTGAAACAGTATTTTAAATTGATATTTTGATTCTTGGTTACAGAGCAGATTTTTGACTTGTAGTTAGGTTTTGATCTGTTTTAACTTTGCATGTGGGCCTATTTAGCTTGGTCTATTAGTCCAGCTTATTGTGGGGCTTAGTGTTAGGCTTTGAGCTACTGATAGAGATTGAAAAAGGATTGGATGAACTTATATTTAAGAATTGAATTTTATTATTTGTTTGACTATTATTTTATTAGTTAGGAAATATATGTTTGACTAGGAGTATTAATTAGAGTTTTACTAGAAAATAATTGTAGAGTTTTAGTAGGATAGAGATTTGAGAGTTTGATTATTAAGCTCTTTTCGAAATTTAGGAGAATAGTTTTTCTTTTGGTAGAGAACTTGGTTTATAAATAATGGTGTAATCCCAACTATTTTTATTAGAGAGTGATATAATAAAAAGTAATTGTTCGTGGAGAATTTTGTGTGTTTCTTGACCAATTGTAAGGATGAAGTAAATTCCTTCCACCCCTCTTTATTTCTTTCTTTTTCTTTCTATTCTCTTATTTTCTTCTTCAACCTGTCCTACATTAATTTGGTATTAGTGCCCAACTTCGATCATTCTCGATTGTGGTTGTGTTTCTTGAGATCTGTCAGTCATCCTCAAGTTTTAGTCCCTTTCCAAAACAAAAAAACCTAGCAGAACCCAGTCCAACCAAAAAAAAATACCCACTGCCCCTACACAAAACCCATAACATAAAGCCCAATACCCAAACCCACGAAATTACACAAACAGTCCCAAGCCTTTTCAAAATTACATATCTAACCCTTGGAGTTTTTGAAATTACACTTTTGCCTCCCAAAAGTTTCAAATATTATACTTTAGCCCCAAAAATTCAGAAATATATTTTGGCCCCAGAATTTTCTAAAATTATAGATTAACCTCAGAATTTTCATAAATTTCGTAAAGCTTTCTTCTAATCAATATGGTTATCAATGCCGAATTACTTGTCACACTTGAAGCACGTGATGCTAAGCTCGATTCACTCCAAGTATCAATGGGTTCACTCCATACATCAATGGAATATATACATGAAGGTGTACATAAGTTGGTTGTCATGTTTGGAGTTAAGCTCCCAAATCAGAACCTCGCAGAGAAGGTAAATTTTGATTCATCTTGTTTACCTATTGATCATTAACAAATTGTTAAACAAGCTTTGTCCTAAAAAGTTCCACCACAACCACAAACTCTAGTTCAATTGAATGATGAGCTAAAATTAGATACCGTTGATGAGCTTAAAAGTTTTCATCATCATCCATCAATTGCTTTTGATAAATCGATCTTAAAGGATCTTTTTATAGAAGAAGTTAAAAAGAGTTTCAAAGGGTACCACTACAAATGGACTTGCTATTTTGTCTTCACTGGTTTATATGCTTTCTTTACCTATAATAGTGTATGTGGATAAGACTGTGATAGATGCAATGCATGAAGGGATTGTTTTCTACTATGGAAATATACAATGTTATTTTCTTGGGATACAAGCTTCTTCAAATTTTTTGGAATCTTTGTGGCCTTCCAACTCTTTGGAGAAGAGTTTTTTTTAGCCAAGGAGAATTGATAGAGATCGAAAATGGATTGCATGAACTTAAATTTAAGAATTGAATTTTATTATTTGTGTTAGTATTATTTTATCAGTTAGAAAATATTTGTTTGACTAGGAGTATTAATTAGAGTTTGATTAGAAAATTATTGTAGAGTTTTAGTAGGATAGAGATTTGAGAGTTTAATTATGAAATTCTTTTAGAATTTTAGTAGGAGAATAATTTTTATTTTGATAGGAAATTTAGTCTATAAATAATGGTGTAATCCGAACTATTTTTATTAGAGAGTGATAATAGAAAGTGATTCTCAGTTGAGAATTTTGTGTAGTTTTTGACCGATTCCTTACTAAAATGAAGTAAATTTCTTCCACCCCTCTTATTTCTTCTTTTCTTTCTATTCTCTTATTTTCTTCTTCAACCCGTCCTACATCAGCTACTTTGCTTGTAAGCCTTGTTTGCTTGGTTTTACTTCTTTGGGCTTCTAGTTTAGGACGTGATAATTTGGTTGCTGGGTTTCATTGTTATTATCTTGTGGGCTTTTGGATTTTTTTGGTTTCTGGACATTGTATTGGGCTTTGATTTTTTTTTTTTTTTGGATTTGGGTTAATTGAACTTGTACAGATTTGGCTGGTGATTTGATTGCTGTTATTTGATTATCTTTTGCTCCAACTAGGGTAAGTTGAAAAACTGACTCTCTTAAGAACATCAGTGTAAAATTGACTATACTTGTTGATCAATTGCAGAAGCTTCCCTTATCCTAGCAGCCTAATGCTCTCTCAATCTCTCCTTTCATAGGTTTGTTCACTTTGGGTCCTCCAAGTATATTTTGAATTGCTTGAGTCTTTGACTCAGGTATTGCACATTACATGACCAATTATTATTTCCTTATTTGCATCTACCTTATCTGCTCTATTTGTATCTATGCTTTCAGCCAATGATACTCAAATGTTATTGGCTAATGTTGGGTCTATTATTCTTCTCAATTAACACTTCTTGATGTTTACTATATTCTACAACTCATCTTAAATTTGATTTTAGTTAGTCAGCTTTTTGATTCTGTATCTTTAGTTCACTTTTCTTTTTCTAGTTGTGTTGTGCAGGATCCATGGTCCAAGAATGTAATTGGGATAGGTCGTATAAAGGGAGGATTATGTGTTGAATGAGTTGCATGTTCCAAATATTGCGACCTCTAATGTTGATTTGTCTTCTTTTCATCTGAGTTCCCAATCGTCTAGTTTTTATTTGTGGCATATTCGTATTGGTTATATTTCTCATTATCTTTTGAAGTTTTTAGTCTCAAATGATAGTTTGGGTAACTTAGAGTGTCATGACATATCCAGTTGTAGTTGATGCAAGTTAGCTAAGGCCACTTTTAATAAAAATTCTATTATCTCTCTTGCATGGTTGGACCTTTTGATCTTGTTCATTCTGATGCCTGGTGACCTATTCCTATTCCCATCAAAGGAGGGTCCAAATATTATGTTTCATTCATTGATGACTATATCAGTTACTGTTAGGTATATCTAATGAAACATCTTTCATAATGGTTCCTCCTCCTAGTTTGCTTCATAGTCCTAGTCAGGTGTGCAAACTCTGCAATGGCTTATATGGTTTTAAGCAGACCCCTTCATAGTTTACCAAATTTTCTTTTGTCATTTGTGACTTGGTTTTCGTGGTAATGCTCGTCACTCTATTCTCTTTCGGCGATCTTCTCCCTCCGGTTCTATTGTACTTTTGTTAGATGTTTGATGATATGATCATTTTTGGTGATGACACTATAGGTATTTTGTCGTTAAAGATCCTGTTGTTAGAATATTTTGAGATAAAGGATTTGAGTCAACTCCGATCTTTTTTGGGCATTGAGGTCGCCTCTTCACCTATGGGCTATCTTCTCTCTCAGTCCAATTATGCCTGAAAAATTATAAAGCAAGCTCGCTTATCAGACACTTGGGCAAGATGTCAATGTTCGTTACTCTTCCACTGAAGGCACTCCATTGTCAGATCCTATGTTGTGCTCGCTATTGTTGGTAGTTTGGTGTTTCTTACTGTTACTCACCCAAACATCTCCTATGCAAGTTCATATTATTAGTCAGTTTGTTACCTCACCTACCACTGTTCACTAAGCTGTTGTTCTTTGCATTCTTCTTTATCTTTAGGGTACACTATACGAAAGTTTATTATTTTTCTTCTCTTTCTTTGTTGGAACTCAGAGCTTATTCTATTGCTGATTGGGCTATTGAATCCATTGATCACAAGTCCACTACTGACTTCTGTCTCTTTCTTGGTGATCATCTCTTGGAAGAGTAAAATACAAACTGTAATTGCTCATTTTTCTACTGATTTGAATATCGTGTTATGGTTTGCACTATCACTGAGATAGTCTGGTTACGATAGTTACTTGTTGATCTTTGCATATCTTTGTTGGCTCCTACCCCTATGTATGTGACAACATGAATGGCATCCAGATCGTCCACAATTCAGTGTTTTATGAGCGCACAAAAGTATATTGAGATTGATTGTCATTTTATACACCATCATTTTCAGTTGGGCATTATTTCTCTTGCATTCCTTCATTATAATTTGCAGTTTGTGGATTTCTTTACGAAGTGTCACACCATTTTGCGCTTCAGTTTTCTTTTAGGTGACCTGCTGATGTTTTCAGCCACCACATCATGAGCTAGATCACATAGAGCGTAATCGTGAATACAAAAACGGCAACATTCAAAAATATTTGACAGCGGTAGCACCTTTGAGAGTGTCATATTTTTTAAAAAATAAAATATTATATACAAATATATTATAAATGAGTGAAGAAAAATCTTAGTTCAAAAAAAAAAAAAAAAGAGAACAATGAACTGTGAACTGTGAAGAGCCTCAAGGCATTTGCCTTTGGCTTGAATTCCACATCGACAAAACCAAATGAAGGAGACCTCCCTTTGCCCATAAAAGGTTGCAGCCCCTTTCCTTTTGCATGTGGTAGCCTTCTAACTTGCTTTTGTTTGTGGCAGCCAGCTAGAAATCCCTCAATTAAGGGAGTACAGCTGGTGTGGCTAATTAATGGAGTTTAAAATTTTCATTGAATAATCTTTTTATTTGCATAAAGCTGGTGGCGAATTTGTTTGCATGAATTCGCAAATTCAAATAAATGAATTCACGAATTTATCACGAATTCGCTCTCAACTCGCAGATTCACGCATGGAGGTTGAGAGCGAAAGTGTATACAGACGAATTATGTGAATCAGATCATGAGTTTGAGGGGGGTTGTTAAGAGTATTTTAGTATTAGGGATAGTTTAATCATTTATTTCTTTTGTTTTGCCCTACTATAAAGGGTCTCTACATTGCATCTTTATTATTAACGTTGTAATCAAAACCATTGGCCGATGTAATGTAATCTTTCTCTTCTGTCTTTGTTTTATCAAAGTTTACACCATCAACTTGCTTACTACACTAACCAGAGAATAGATTTCTGGTCAACTGACAAGCTCGTAATTCAACTTACCAATCAATCTTCTATACCTATCTGGATGACTAATCAACTGACCTAGATCAATAGTCAGTTTTTATGGGATTCATTGGGTCAGCTAGTTCTGTACATGTAAGCAATGTTTGAGGTAGAAAGTGTAAAAAACTTGAGCTACAGTGATACCACTTTTTGATGTAGCAACTTTAATTCCTGGAAAGTAATGCAACTTACCCAGGTCTTTAGAATGAAACTTCGGCTTCAAGATAATTTATGTTCAATGATACCTTCACTCTCATTAGCTTTGATGACAATATTGTCCACACGCATAACTAGACAATCATAGCAGATTCAGAATCTTGCTAAACACTGTGTTTTACCTGACAACGATAAAGTCCAAATTCTGACACAACCTCACTAAACTGTCCAAGCCAAGCTCAAAGTGACTGATTTAAACCATATGTAGCCTTCTTTAGTCGGCATGTCTGACCGTTGACCTCCCCCTGAGTGACAAACCATTGAGGTTGCCCATATTATATTCCTTAGTCAACTCTCCGTGGAAAACAAGATTCCTAATTTTAACCCTTTTAGGGTGAGGTACCTTTTCTCCTTGCATGCTTGCTATCTGCCCACACACACAAAACAAAACCCGAAAAGAGAAAAAAAATGAAAACTACAATGCCTTCACAAAATTATGGGCTTTCTACCATATGCTTGTTTGGTATATCTAATATCCTGCTACTGTAGTTTTAATTTCTTGGGTAATGCAGGGGTCAACATGTATAGTCAATGCAGCTAGTGAAAGAGACATGGCTGTATTTGCTGCTGGAATGATCCAGGTTACTTCTCCTGTTGCACTGCTCGAGTTTTTATACCTTCCTGCAAGTGCACATGAAAACTGGCATAGGTCATTTTAATAAGCCTACATTTCACTGACAGGCAGAACTGAAGGGAAAGCGTTTCTTATGCCGCACTGCTGCTAGTTTTGTCTCCGCTCGGCTGGGAATTATTTCTAAAGCTCCAGTTTTGCCCCAGGATCTTGGAGTGAATAGAGTAAGGAGAGGTGGACTTATTGTTGTGGGTTCCTATGTTCCCAAAACAACAAAACAGGTCAATGCAATTCCAAAATTTTCTTGTGTCTTTATATACTGATCATTGTTATGCATAATTCATACCAATTTTTTTTTTTTTTGCAATCTACAGGTTGAAGAACTTAAATTACAATGTAGCCATATCCTACAAAGTATAGAGGTGAAATATAAACCCAATTTTTTTTCTTTTTCCCCGTAAATACATGAAGTGGTGATTTGGTGATATTTTCACAAAGAGCGAAAGAGAGCGGGGGAGAAGGGGATGGAGTAATTTAGTTTAAGCTTTTTCACACCAATTATCATTTCCAATCACATTTTTGGAGTTGTGGTCATAAGTTACCTTCTATAATTCATGAACAGATATCTGTCGATAATCTTGCCATGAAATCATTAGAAGAGAGGGAGGAAGAAATCACTCGAGCAGCTGAGATGGCAGATGCTGCCCTAAGGGGTTGTAAAGACACTCTCATAATGACCAGTCGTGAGGTTATTACAGGGAAAAGTGAGTCTTCACTTATTTTGTCACAGAAACTTATATTCTCTTACCATACCTTATATGATATTTCATTATACAAAGTTTGGTATATTTTTTGCTCAACTTCCTTGATGTGAAGTATGTTTACATTCGAGATTCAATAAAGATTACTTTTTACTGCTGATTGTCGTCTTCATGGAACAACAGCACCTTGTGAGAGTTTGGAGATCAATTTTAAGGTGAGCTCTGCACTGGTGGAAATAGTGAAGCGGATATCTACAAGACCTCGTTATATACTTGCAAAGGTAATTCTATTTGTTCCAGTGATCAAGTGTTGGGTGTTTATTTATTTTGATGTCAAATGGTCAAATTAGGAATGTTGGATTATGATTAAATTGAGATGCTCTAACAATGAATTAAATTTTTATATATTACTTGATGAGTGGGTGAAGGTTCATCCTCCATCAAGACGGAGTATTGGGCATATAGACAGTAAGTGCGCATATTTGCAAGTTGTGGGATTGCCCTCTAGAGACAAGTCTTTACAAAGTATGTGATAGATTGGAAGAGATATGTTAGTCTTGATGCACCTTTATTGGGATGTGATTATTTACCACAACTTAGTTTTAGACAGAGACAGTAGCACCCAAGTGTGCTTGTATGATATATGGCATGTTGTGTGTCATACCATGTATTGCATGTGTCCTTTACAATACAATTTGAAGGGATCTGACTCTTATGTTTTCAGTTTTTGAATTCTATTGTATTGTATCATGCATAGTAAGTAATGAGCTTTCGATTTATATAAACATGTTCAATTTATTAATACCCTTTTTTTTTCACATTAGCAGGGTATTATTTCTGGGGTATCTTTGTTTTTTTTTTTTTCTTTTTCATTTCATTCTTTCATTTTGTTTAGGATCATCCAGTTTTTTTCTTTCTTGTTCACCTAATCTTTTCCATTTCCATTTGTGTCTGTTAGCATTATTTCTGTGCCTTTCATTGTTCATAATTCTCAGGGTTAGAGTTTCAGATCTCAACCATTCAAGCTGCATTCAGTTGGACTTGGGGATGGGAGAAATGTGTTGCAGTGCATAGACATTCTTAAGTGCAACGAGAAAAATAGATAAAATAAGAATAGAAAGTGTAGTTTAGCTTTGGAAATATTTAATCCACTCATGCTCTTGCCTTTTTACAGTGCTGGTTTTCCATTATTGTGGAGAGAATGATCAATCATTTTTATCCCTCCTCCATGCAAAGAAAACGAGAATTTATGGGTTAGCTGACATCAAGTTCTTACTTTTATAGGGTGGGATTACCTCTTCAGACCTTGCGACAAAAGCTCTAGATGCAAAATGTGCCAAGGTAGTTGGACAGGCTATGGCTGGTGTTCCCTTGTGGCAGCTAGGTCCCGAAAGCAGACATCCAGGAGTTTCATACATTGTTTTCCCTGGTAATCTGAGTTTGTACAGCTTTTCATATCATTAGTTTCCACAAGAACTGTGTTTTAGCATGTTTCACCCCACCATGTGCCATTTTTAGGAAATGTTGGTGACAGTAGCGCTCTGGCAAACATTGTCAAATGTTGGGCTCGTCCAATCAAACTTTCATCAACTAAAGAACTCCTTTTTGTAAGAGCTTTTGAACTAAACAAACTATATGTTATTAGCTCCCAATCCTGCTAGTGACCATCATTCCTTATGCAGAATGCAGAAAAAGGTGGGTATGCTGTTGGAGCATTCAATGTTTATAATTTGGAAGGTGTACAGGCAGTTGTCACTGCAGCAGAGGAGGAAAAAAGTCCTGCTATTCTACAGGTTTAAGGCAGTCAGCTGATAAGCTATAAATAGTTTATATATGGCTGATAGTAGGAGTTTACATTTTGTGTTGTATTGTTCTGTATTCTATTAACAAAACCGGTTTTTGGTTTGTGGGCTAGAATATAATCTTTTTGATGTTGCGACTCTGAGATGTAGACTCAGCTGCACATCCATGTGTGCGTCCCTACCGTATGCAGGCAGTCAAAATATTTATGGTACTATTGGTGATAGTTAGAATATGAAGTTTTAGGATTAGTGTTTGGAGAAAGAAGAGGGAAGAAGAGACAAACAGACAAGGATCAAAATTTTGTTTCGGTGAGCTTGGAAACGGAAACGTTTTGGTTATATTTAGGAAACATTTTATACACAAGATGGAAACAAAGAAAAATTTGAAATTTTATTTTCAAAACATTGGTCGAAACATTCCGAAATATTTCAAAGCATAGGTCGAAATATACCGAAATACCTCGTAACCTACTTGAACACCTCGAAATATAAGAATTTTGATATTCAATCAGTGATTCGTTTCGGTCTCCATAAAAACAGAAATGTTTCAGACTTTCAACGGTTTCAAAATGAAATTTAGTTCCTTGCAAACAAATGTGGAGTATAATGTGTCTTAGGTTACAAAATTACACCCCAACTTATATATGTAAGCACAAAGTACAAGAATACCCTAACCCTAAAAATAAAGTATAACTAACAATAACTAACACTCCCCCTTAAGTTGGTGTATAGGTATCTCTCATACTCAACTTGTAAACAATAGGATAGAAAATCTTGCTACTAAGCCCCTTTATGAAAAATCGGTCAATTGGTTCTTCGATTTCATAAAAAGCATGCAAATCAAATCCTTGTTTAACTTTTATTTGATAAAGTGTCGGTCAATCTCAACCTGTTTAGTTCTATCATTTTGAATATATTATAAGCAATATTGATAGAAGCCTTATTATCACAATATAGGCTCATAGGCCCATCATCATGAATTCTGAGCTCTCCTAGTAAGGTTTTAAGCTACATAATCTCACAAAATCTATAAGTCATTGCTCTACATTCAGCCTTAGCACTAGACCTAACTATTATTGCTTGTTTTTTGCTACGCCAATTAACAAGGTTTCCTCCTATCAATCTGCAGTAGTCCAAAGTAGATTATCTGACATCCATAGAATTTACCGAGTCTGTATTAGTATATACTTCTAACTTCAAGTGACCATGTTTGGAGAACATAATTCCTTTACCTAGAGCTCATTTGAAATATCTCAAAATACGATAAACAGCTTCAAGATGAAGAGTTTGAGGATCATTCATGAATTGATGGACAACACCCACAGTATATGCAATATTTGGACAAGTATGAGAGAGATATCAATCTCTCCACTAATCTCTGATACCTCTCCTTATCAACTACATCAACACCATTACTCAATCGATGATTGACTTCAATAGGAGAATATATAGATCTACATCCTAATATGCATGTTTCTTCAAGCAGGTCAAATACATATTTTCTCTGGGAGATAAAAATGTCTTTATCTGATCTAGTAACTTCAATCCCAAGAAAGTATCTCAATGGACCAAAGTTTTTAATTTCAAGCTCCTTAGCCAATTGGGCTTTAAGTTTGGTGGTTGCCTACATATCATTCCCAATTATTACTATGTCATCGACATTCACAATCAGAACAATTATCTTATCATCGTGTTTGATGAAGATAGTATGATCAATATGGCTCTATTTACACCCAAATTTAAGCATAACTTTGAAAAACCTATCAAACCAAGCTCATGTTTGATGAAAATTAGAAAAAGTGCCTCAGTTTCACGAAAGGTAACATCTATGTTAACAAACACCTTTTTAGTTCGGAGATGATAGTATTTATATCTTTTTTGGGTCGAAGAGTAACCAATAAAAACACACCGTAGGTCCTTGGAGTCAAGTTTCCCCTTAGAAGATTTGTAATCATGTACGATACAAACACACCCAAACACTTTAAGAGGAATGGAAAAAATGGAAAGAGTAGAATAAATCCCAGAAAGGCACTCAATATGTGACTTAAACAGAAGGAACACAATTAATAAGATAAATAGCACTAAGAACAACATCTCCCCAAAAAAATTTAGGAACATTCATGGTAAACATCAATGAATGAGCAACTTTGATAAAGAATGTTGTCCTCATTAAGAGAGGAATGATATTCTTCATCTATATACTCAGTCTCATTGTCACTTCGAAGGATTTTGATTTTAGCATCAAATTAGGTACTTACCATTTCATAAAAAGATCTAAAGTAAGAGAAAACTTCACTTTTAGTACGGAGTAAGTAAACCCACGTAAGATGAGAATAATAGTCAATAAAAGTGACAAACCAATGATAACCAGAAATAGATACAGCACGGGAAAGTCCCAATGTATTAGAGTGAATAATGATAAAGGGAGCTATGCTTTTATCATTTTTACTAGGATAAAATGAATGTTTATGCTTTGCAAATTCACAAGTATTGCAAAAAAAGGTATGCATATTACACTGTTTCACTAAATTAGCGAAAAATTTCTCTAAGACACCAAATAAAAGATGTCCCAAACGTCTGTCACTGATTTAAAAGCTGAAGAGCCAAAACACCATCTGCTTGAAATGTTTGACTAGTAGAATGAGAAGAAGCTTTAGCATCCAAAAAATATAGACACTATGTGCTCTACCTTTGCCAATCATTTTTCTGACTTCAAATCTTGAAAGATATAATAAATAGGGTAAAAGGTCAGTGAACAATTTAGGAAATTTGTAATACTGTTAACAAACAATAAATTAGTAAGAAAAGTGGAGACATGAAAAACGAATAAAAAGGGTAAGGTTGAAGAGCAATTAATTGAATATTATCCTCAAATAGAGGATAACGATCCATCTACCACTATTACGTTATTCTTACTTAAACATATAGAATACGAAGAGAAAAGACTAAAAGAACCTGTCATGTTGTCTGTGGTCCAGTGTTGATTATCAAAGGAGTTTATGAGGATGAAACACTAAATGCACTAGCAGATATACCAATTTGAACAAAGTTGAAAGAAGAAGCATGATTATGCACTATAGTAGAGGAAACATCAAGATTTACCATCAAACGTCTAAGAGTTTACATCTCATCCTGAGAAAAAGAAGTGGAAGTATTTTCCACCAGATTGAGATGGATGTTCTAAAGATTCAACCATGTGTGCATGGGATCGCACAATACCACCTCGGCCACCACCTTGTCTAGTCAGCTTCAAACAAAACTCCTTAATATGCCTATTCTTCACACAATAATCACATTTTAAGGTATCCTTGTCACCAATACTACTCTTATAAGTAGAAGTTAACATATGTCCGACATGTCCAAACAATGAGATTATTGCAAAACGACAATCACCCTCAGAAATCACAGCCCGAGGAATAGATCAGAACCAAGAAACACCTGAACCTGTAGCCAAACGACAACCAAACAGTAGCCTTTAGATTTTGATCAAAGCTCTGATACCAAGTTAAAATATGAAGTTTTAGGATTAGGGTCAAGAGAAGAAGAGACACAGCTGTGTAGTGTAGTGTGTCTTAGGTTGCACACTCCACCTCAACTTATATATATATAAGCACAAAGTACAAGAATACCATCAAACTAAAAATAAAGCATAACTAACAATTACTAAGAGTGATGGAGAAGAAATCTCTGACAATATCCATTGTTGTAATAAATTTAGAAAGAAGGTGAGAGAAGGCTAAAATAGTAAACTGGTAACCTATTTTGATCACTTCACAATTTCTAGAGTGGAATCTCACAAGTGATGATTTATATATATAACTCACAATATATTCGTAAACTAACAAACTGAACTGAACCGGAAAAATACTTTTATAACGTAAAACAATGATAAAGCTCCAAAATATCAACAATTTTCATGTCTCGTGATGACCCAGATATTATTTTTTGAAAACACATGCTTGATGAAGCTCATAAGTTTATAAATAGTTAGACTTGTATTCAAAATCTAAATAGCAAGTATTTGTGGAACATGCGATAATGATTTACAACTTCACATTTGTAACAAATGCAATGTTAGAAAAGAAAATTTTATGTCCCTTCCCTGCCTTTTTGGACTTCATACGAATCATTTTTGGCTCTTAAGCCTGAATTTGCAAGTATTTCTGCAACAAATGACTCCTTAAATAGAAAACGCAATGTGAAAGTATTTTGGTTCTTATAGCTGCTGTATATAGTATTTGGCATCTCTTAATGCTGATTAATTCATTTTCTCAATTACTAAGAACAGCTAATTCATTTTCTTGCTTTTCATACCTCTTATCTTTAGCAACTATACAGAAACAATATTCTCTTTTTTCCAGATTCACCCTAGTGCCTTAAAGCAAGGAGGAATTACCTTGGTTGCATGTTGTATATCTGCTGCTGAACGAGCAAGTGTAAGTAGCATTTAGTACTGATAAAGTTCTTATTTTTATATTACTAGTAGTATTGGGTAATATTGTAACTACTCACAATATCAATTCTACATAATTGGTTATTTATTTCTCCTTTGCCTCTTCTCTTTCTCTATTCAACTAGTATCATCCAGGCATACATCATCAAAAAAAAAAAAAAAAAACAAAGAAAAAATGAAACTAACAAAAATCAGCTTCAAAATGGTTGTGAAATGCATGATGTCATGCGGTGAAACTTCAAAAGGAATTGATGGGCAAGGTTTCTAGATTCTCGTTAAACCACTGAATATGTAAGCTTATAAGGGTAATATTCCTTTTTCTTATAGTGGTGATTCTTTTTTGGCTTGACCATGAGGACATTTAGTTAAGAAGCTGTACATGATCCCAGATATAGTTGCACATAAAACATGTTTGTTTGTGGTGTATATAGCTTAGTAACACATCAAACATGTTTGTTGGACCTGTGAAAATATTTTGTCCACCCGTATTGGTCCACTTCTCGATGTACTGTCTCATCATATTTGTTGATTTTTTGAGATCTAAGGCACCAAACATCTGCTTTGAAACATTATTTTCTGTTAGATGAGTTTGTCAGTGGTAAGATAAATGTCTTATCCTGAGTTATGCAACGTAATCTGATATATCAGAGACAATTTGTTGTTTCTTTTTTCCAAACCTAGGTTTATGTTTGAGATAACTTTTTGAGGAGAAAATAATGCCATGTCATGACAGGTTCCCATCACTGTTCACTTTGATCATGGAGATTCCAACCAAGAGTTGTTGGAAGTTCTTGAGTTGGTAAGTGTTGTTGATTCTATTGAAGGCATATTTTTAGGTTAATCTAACCACATGATTAGTAGTTTGGTCTGGTAGTGTTCAAATCATCTCTATCGAGTTCTAAAGTCCTAGTGACATTGTATTGTTTTAATCCAAACCATGTCAGGGATTTGATTCAGTCATGGTAGATGGTTCACACCTTTCCTTCAAAGAAAACATCTCATACACAAAACACATTTCTATCTTGGCGCACTCCAAGGATATGCTGGTGGAAGCTGAATTGGGAAGATTGTCAGGAGTGGAAGATGACTTAACTGTTGAAGATTACGAAGCAAGGCTGACTGATGTTAATCAGGTTCTTCTTATTTTTTTCCCCTACATGAAACCAGCATCTTTCATGTCCTTATGTTGCCATCCTCACCAGATTTGGTTCTGGATGCATTTCAGGCTCAAGAATTCATTGATGCAACGGGTATAGATGCTTTGGCTGTTTGTATCGGAAATGTACATGGAAAATACTCTGCAAATGGCCCGAATCTTAGACTCGATTTGCTTGAGGTCAAGAATACATAGTCCATATTTTTATTGTCAGATAATCATCGCTTTAAGGCTGAGATAGCCCAGAATTAATTTATATGCATCAAAATTTTACCTTAACCCAGAATTGGTTTATATATACAAATTTTCACCTTATTTCTGGTCCAAAACATCTGGCTTCTTCAATTTTTTTGGACACATTCTGGTGTCTTAAAGACACCATGTTCACTTGTGCCTAAGGGACGCCTGTTGCATACTCTTAGTCTTGACTCTATTAGCTATTTGAGTATATATTGTATATGTGGTCAATAGCTATTCCTCTAAATACGTTAAATGGAAGACATTCTCACACTTTTTGATGTTGAACATCAATTCTTCAAGTTTCAATTCATTTATTTCCAAAGCTCTCGTCCTAGCAACCATGTACCTGCATCTTAAATGCAGCTTGCAGTTCTTGTTGGCATGGACATGAGATGAACAGTTAGGATTTTTTTCATCCCACAAGCATCTATTTGGAAACAATTATTGCCCTTCATAACTCTCAAAATACATGCATAAACTGTGGACTAGAATCATAATTATTTGTATTTTCCCCCTCAAGTACACAAATGACTAAGGCACATCTCACCCTTTTCATGATAACTTATGCATAGCCTTAAAATATAGACTTTCTTTGCACAGTTGTATTTTTCACTAAATTAGGGCTTGTTCTTTCTTGGGAGTTGCTGACTTTCCGGATATCATTTGACTAAAGATCCATCTGCATCCATATCAGAAGGGTTGCTAATTTCCAGACTTTGCTCTTTTCCAGCATCTGCATGACTTATGTTCGAAAAAAGGAGTTTATCTTGTTCTTCACGGAGCTTCTGGGTTGCCTCGGGAATTTATCAAGGTACATCCGTTCATATGATATATGAAGTTCAAATGTCATCAATTTCATTCTGAATTTCTGTTCATGAACTGCTGAGATGTCGTTTTGCAAACATGTAATGCATGCTTGTGCTTAAAGCCGTTACCAATGCTGGTGAATGGATCTAAGGCTTTCGTTAATTTCTTGATTGTGTGCTTTGAACAGGAATGTATAGAGAGGGGTGTGAGGAAGTTCAACGTTAACACTGAGGTGCGAAAGGCTTACATGGACTCACTGAGCAGCCCCAAGAAAGATCTAATCCATGTCATGGCATCTGCAAAAGAAGCCATGAAGCGTGTGATTGCGGAGAAGATGCGCCTATTTGGCTCAGCAGGAAAAATATGCTAGAGTTCTGTGTGAATCACTTTGTGACGAATAAAGGTTCCTCCAGGGGGGGAGCTAAAGCAGCAATCCCAAGACTAGCTTTTCCGGACAATGTCTATTATGAAATGGTGCCGCTGATTCGGCTGCTACAGGCTGTTTATTTAAATCTCATTGGACATTGTGACTTGAAACTACAAAGTAATCCTGGTAGCAGTACTAGCCCTTCTAATAAATTGGTGCACACAAAAAGTATCAACTCTCCACTCAATCTGAATCTATTCTTCGTATTCATTCTGGTGTGGATGAGTTTTTCTTTTTCTATTACAAGAAAAATAATTTGGTTGTTTCTTCAAGTAAGGGGATGAGAATTCTTAATTTGTAAAATTTGTGCTAAGTTCGAATTAAGTTCAAGCATATTATAATTCAATGGAGCTTCAACTATGACCTCCCAAAATCTATGGGTCATTTCTTAACACGTTGTTCACCTATTAATCCGTGGAAGTATATCCGTGTGTACCACATAACTTGATATCATGTCGTTACACCTCATTCATTGGGGTCGTAATCAAAATCAATTTTGGGCAGAGTTTTTTTTGTATGGGAGTCTTATCCAATCCGTCACATGTGCGTAAAATAATCGTAGGACTATTCCAATGTTAAAACTCCAATGATTTGGCTTATTAGTATTCATTTACATAATAAGGCACCTTAATGTTTATTTTAAAATTTTCAAATTTTGGGAAGAGATGTTGGTACATCTCATACGTTGTATCGGTACCTGAACCTTATGTTTTTTAGGTACACGTATCTATGGATTTTGATACCGGTACTTGGGTCCACTGTTTGCTGGGTATCGGTACTTATATGTCTTTGTATCGGTACATGAGTTTACTGTCCGTCGGGGTATTGGTACCTGAGTTCATTGGAATCCAAGTATTGGTGCTTGTAAGTCTAGGTATCGGTATTTGGGTTATTCGACAACATGGTACCAATACTTAATCATTTAGGTATTGATACCTAAGTTCAGATTTTTTCAAATTCTTTCCATTTTTAACTTTTAGCCATCTAAACTCATACACCATTCATTTACATTAAAATATTGTCCAAAAGAATTCATTACATGTTCCCTTTTTCACAAATTTACAAGTTCAAAATAAATTACATAATTAATTTACAAATTATAATTCAAAAGCCACATTCCAACTTCTTCATCAATAAGGGCTCAAGTGAGTGTTGTCCGTTGGCATTTGTTTGACACCTAAAATTTTGTTTCTATAAAGGGTGAATTACACTCAACAGGGTATTTCCTAAGGAGGCTACTCCTTAATCCAGATGTATGTAAAATGATCATATTCAATTCATCAATCAATCATCCATTCAAGAGTATACAATTCATAAATGAATACCACAATGTCATGACATGTCATGAAATGAAACTTACATATGCAATGCAACTTGAGTTCTGCACCAGCACTCATAACACATGTATTGTCATGCGTATACATCCGGACATTCTAAACCTCTGTCGTTGATATTGCACATCCAATAAATATTTTACAAAATCTTGTGCTTTTTTGGGTGGGTAATTTATGAATATCACATCAAGGGTCTACTAGCCCACATTACATGCGAAGACATCACACCTCAGGCTCCGAGTACGCCTATATACTTTTCTAGAATTTCACCACAAGACAAGTGAGTGAACCAAGTAATCGGGCCTTGCACCTAAGGGAGAACCTATCCCTTGTTACACCTGACATACGTTTTTAATGCAACTTGTGCAACTCAGTAGAACCTAAGTCTAACTTTTTCGAGCCCACATATTAACCCACTGAGGATGGTGTTTGATAAAAAACATGCACACACACCCACACTTATGTTAATTGTCCACGAATGTGATACTATTCGTGCATATGCAAATGTAATGAATAATTGTAATTCACAATATCATGTTCATCATATCATTAGCATATTGTGAACATACCACAATTTCTACAACGTTCCAAAACTTCTCAAATGTCAATTATGTCGTAAAGTATATAATTACATTTCACAACACCATTAAGCATGTTATAACATATTCTATACACATAACACACTTAATCAACCATAGACATTTTATCAAATACCTACAAGGCACATAGATTATGTAAACACATAGCATGCTCATATCACACATTTCTCATGAAATTTATAGCCAATACATTTCATCAAAACTCAATCATGCAAGATTTGGTTTAAACACATACTTCATACCCATTTCTATTTCCTAACACCCTAAGCATGTGTTACACATGAGATTTCATCTCTAACATCCTATCCATTTCATATTTCAACCCTAGGCTAGAAATAAACCTAGTTAGAAGAGGAATCCTACCTTTTGTAGCATGTATATGCATACTAGAAGCTCCAAAAGACTCAAATCAAGCTCCCAAATTTTGATCCCAGAAATCTCGTCTCCAAGATTGTGGTGAAACCCACAATATTTGGTATTTACGTGTATCTCTCGTTGCATAGAACAATCTTTGTTCTTAGTCTAAAGAGATCCGACGATCGGATCATTGTAAATCAGAGAAGAAAGGTTGGAGAAGTTTTGATTTTTCTCTTTTTTGTTTCTCTCTGTCTCTCTTCTCTATTTTTGGAAAATGCTGAAGAAAATGGGGAGAAAATCTGATTTTTCTCTCCTATTTATACTCCCCAATGCTTGGCCCATGACGCGCTATACGTCCATCTTTTTCTGATCTGATTTTGTCTAGAATCAATAAAATCTCGTCCCGTTTTAGGTTCAGTGCATTTTTATTGAACTAACTTTAAATTATTTTTTCAGGTTTCACAATTAAGTCTTGTTCACGTTTATTTTAGTTGTGCGATTCCTGATCACCTTATAAACGTGAAAAATTCAATTGTCTTGTGAGACAAAATTTGACTGGATAACTAAATTTCACAAGACGAATTCAATTGTGAGGTCCATTTCATCACTAGAGTTGGATTTCTAAATCTTAGAAGAAAGAAATGTGTAAACCCCCACATTCATATCTTTATATAGCAATGTAATTATTTTTGAAATGTTAATATATGTGACGATGTATGCATGAACTATGTGGATTGTAAGAGTAGAAATAAAAATGTTAGTTGAGGTAATAGGGTATGAATTGGAAGTTAGAAAGTATTCCAGAGTTCAAACACATTTTAGATAAAATTTGGGTAGAAAGAATTTTGGACACTTTCTAGTATTTAGACCATAACTGTTTACCCTGATGTCCATTTGAGCCAAAAGTTTTACAGTAGATGGTAGACTTCTAGGGCTATAAAAGTGTATTTTATGAAAATTTTCCATATCGACTTCTAAACAGGCCAAAACTTTACTAGAAGTTTCAGAAAAAATAGGAAGTCCGTTCAAACGTGAAAGTACGTTCGAACGTGAAATTCTGTTCGAATAATAGTGCGTTCCAGTACTTTTGTCTGATGGGAAAAATAAAAGTACTGGGAGCAAATGACGTTCGAATGCCAAAATGACGTTCGAACATGAGTTACGAAATCTAGGTTTCAAAATCGCGCATAGGAGACTATTTCTTCCACTATAAATACTTAAGGACACCTTCATTAGCCCCATTTCAACATTTATGACCCTAGAGAGGCTTAGACAGGAAGAAATAAGGGAAAAAACACAAGATCAAGAGAGATTCGCACATTGAAGAGGATCAAAGCTTCTAGTTTTTCAAGAACACCAAGGAAGAAGAAAGGTAGGGGTTTCTTCCCACTCTTGTCCATTGAGGATAGGGTTTATATTTATGTATATTTTGCTTCAAAATTTTAGATATATGTTATGATATCCTTGTTTCTTGATGTTCTTGCAAACCTTCTCATGTTTTGAGTGAAGTTATGAGTTGAAAGCCATAAAAACCCTTGTTTTTTAAGAGAAATTGATTTTTCTCAAGAAATTAATTTTTCTCTTGATTTTTTCTTTGTTCTTGATTTAAAAAATCTAGTGCTTGGTATTGAACAATAAAATGATATTTTTGATGATCTCTTGCATATTTTCTTAAATTGTTCTATTAGAATAATACATGTAAAATTTAAGAATTTTGGATTTTACTTGGGATTGAAAAAATTGGTTGGGTATTGTATCTCCTGTGGATGTTTGGATGACCATGGATGACCGTTGACCGGGTATCGTAGAGTGGGTAGATGCGTTTTTTACTTCGTGCGGGTTTGAATTTTCCTACCACTCGTAGTGGGATTGCTGCCTTACGAGGACCAAATCACTATTCGTTCACGTGGTACCGAGGCTGAGGGTTAGTATACTATTTCTAGGTTGAATTCATCATTGCTAATGCGTTGTTATACGCCCTTTCTAAAGTTAGATATCCTTGCGAGGATTGAGTGTGTGTGTGTGGGCCAGAATATTCTCGGTGTGTGTTTATTCATGCGATGTCATACGTCGTACCTGGATACAAGTTGTGGTTTGATATAGATTGTGAGCTATTGTTTATTGTGCAAATGGTTGGTTATGGTTTATTGTATAAAAAGGAGTGTATGGTGGAATTGGTTTGTTGTGAAAATGGTTATTGTGAAAATGGTAACTTGTTGGAAATTGTTATTGTTGAAATTTTATTTTACTTTTTCATTTAATTATTGCTATTGTGTAAACTTGAGATCCATTGAAATGTCCCTATTTTCTTTTAAAAGCTATATATGATATTTGTAAAATGAGACCGACCGTTCTATATGCTTTTGAAATTTTGTTCGAGTTTGAGAGGATTTTCCTACAGAGCTTAGTGCTCACCCCCTATAAACAATATCTTTTTCAGATTATGGTTTAGAGGAGGAGCTTAGAGTTGGTGAGCTGATATATTGGAAAGCTCCAATAGATAGGAACGTGGATCCCGAGGTGGACATTCAAAGCTATTTTCTCTTATGTTCTAGACTAAAAATTCATTTTGAGACAATGTGAAGTCTAATATTTTTGTTATTCCACTACAAGATAATAGTTAATTTTTGAGATGTAATTGTCATAGTTGGGC